TACATGTAAACCCCATCCAATTTCACAGACAGACATGAACAATATTCACTGATTTACAACAGAAAAGATCTCTCTCTCTCTCTCACATTTTTGTACAGATTACAAGTCAATTTATGACTGATATCTCAAACATGTTGATTACCTAACAAAACAATAATACAATACACAAGTATAAAAGCTCATCTAAATGTCCAGAATAATAATTCAACATAATAACAATAACTTTATTATTGATGCACATAGACAAACTAAACACTAAAACCTTGCATTTCAAGAAAGTCTAATATTGTATATTTACCAGTAAAACATCAGCTTAGTGGTTATAAATACATATTTCTAATTCTGACATATTGGGTTTGAGGCCATTTAAGGCAATGCGACAGTGGACCACTTAGTGTTGCTTTCAACAACAGTTTGAGCACTGAATCACTTGTAAAGTAATTAGAAAACTAATGAATATAAATTTGCCTACTAAAAACCAAAAGCAGAACCAGTGGTTCAAACATGTGTCCAGACTACTAAAAACCACAAGCAGAACCAGTGATTCAAACATGTGTCCAGACTACTAAATCCACAAGCAGAACCAGTGGTTCAAACATGTGTCCAGACTACTAAATCCACAAGCAGAACCAGTGGTTCAAACATGTGTCCAGACTACTAAATCCACAAGCAGAACCAGTGGTTCAAACATGTGTCCAGACTACTAAATCCACAAGCAGAACCAGTGGTTCAAACATGTGTCCAGACTACTAAATCCACAAGCAGAACCAGTGGTTCAAACATATGTCCAGACTACTAAATCCAAAAGCAGAACCAGTGGTTCAAACATGTGTCCAGACTACTAAATCCACAAGCAGAACCAGTGGTTCAAACATGTGTCCAGACTACTAAAAACCACAAGCAGAACCAGTGGTTCCAACATGTGTCCAGACTACTAAAAACCACAAGCAGAACCAGTGGTTCAAACATGTGTCCAGACTACTAAAAACCACAAGTAGAACCAGTGGTTCAAACATGTGTCCAGACTACTAAAAACCACAAGCAGAACCAGGGATTCAAACATGTGTCCAGACTACTAAAAACCACAAGCAGAACCAGTGGTTCAAACATGTGTCCACACTACTACAAAACAGTGCAAGACAGACAGCCATGCCACTTAGAAGTCGTCCACGCAAGCCATGGATAGATGAAATATCTGAGGCTGTTAACATCAACATCTACACAGAAATATCTCTTCAAAACCTGATGCTGAAAGGCGGAACAGTACGTTGAAAAAAAAAAAAGAAAGAAGAAGCAGAACCACACACACAAAAAAAGCCAAAAAATGTAGGTGCTGGTTTTCATGAAGATGACTGGGGATCATCACTGGAGATAAGGTGGTTGTGCTTTATGCGATGTTCTCTACAACTGGCTAATTGTACTGCTGAGCGAGACCAAGCTACACGGCATAACCCAGTTAAGTTAATCCTCGTGACTTTTATTTTAACCAAAGGAAGTGCATTTTCTTTTACATCCTAATCTAGTTTTTAAACCATTATAAACCTGCTGCACACTTATATACCAACTTACACAATTATTAAGACACCCAAACATAAGGATGAGTGCATAGAAACAGTTTATAAACAGCACATTTATACTAAAACTGTGCTACCAGTGCCAGATTTAGACATTATCAAACGTTAACCTAGGTAAAATTAACACCTCTGAAATTAGATGCCTTAAAAAAGCCTCCAACTTAACCATCTGAAACGAAGAAATGATATTATCAGATAGACTGTAGGAACAACACCATGCAGTAAATTCCTAGAGAAACAGAAGATAAAATGGTTTGGTCATCTAGTAAGAATGCAAGAATGCAGCCAGAACTACCAACGTAGGCGCTACACATGAAATGATCAGAGGCATCCATAGGAGAAAATAGATTAATGACATTAATAAGCTTTTACATTGACATGGGATGACAACAGCTATTGCTTCCCATCAAGCAATGGATCACAAACTGTTCCACCCCACAACACTTAATGGCAGGAGTGGAAATTGATGATGATGCTGATGATAATAAGGTGACCCTAAATAAAAATAATTAGTAAAATGTACTGTATTATATACTGAAAAATATGGCATGTTGAGAAGGGGGGAAGGGGGGAGGCAGGAAAAAAAAAAAGGAGGGGGGGGAGGGGGTGGGCCTGAGCACCCATGGAGGTTCTGGAGTGCCAGAAAGATAAACTAACTCACATTCTCTTGGTCTCCCCTGCAACATGCCTTTTGTAAAAAGGTTTTCCAGTTAATGAATTAAAAAAATCTATATATAAAAAAAATAATCCAACAAATATAAACAAAATGGAAATAAAACAGATAAATAGCAGTACACCTTTTACTGAAATTCGAACCACTTGGTGATTAATTGATATATGACAAGCTAGATGTTGTGAGGGCCCTTTGGGAGTGAGTAAACAGTATGGAGGAACAGACAGATCATTATAGTCTTGAGGAGAATGGAATCTGGAGGAGTCACCAGGGGATCTGGCTGACGCTCAAGGGAAAGGTGAGATGGATATACAGTCAGACGTAACTGGTGGCACTGGTATTGGAACTTTTTCCTTGCTGCTGAAAATGGGGATGGAGCGTTTATGGGAGCGTCCCGAGTGCTATGATGTCAATTCCTAATTCAATTCAAATTACAACATATGCAACTTATAACAATTAGCACTTACAGCCACAACAATTAAATAAAGAAAGAAAGATAACTAAAGTTACTGGAACTGATGCAAAAGAGTGCATATAGTCTAGACCAGTGAAGATGATCTTGGATGTGAACTTCTGCTGTGAAGAGCAATTTATTCCTAGCAATTACCATATGCTTGAACTCTTTTATGGATGAGAGAAATTTATGATTGGAAAAACCATTTCTTGTGTCCCTTGTAAGTTTGCCGTATCAAGTCTGCACTGTATTATACATTTTACACATTATATACAATAATTATGTACACATAGGCTGAATTTGTGTTTTAACTACAATTTGTATAACCCATTTGAATGAAAATAGTGTTGGAAAATGTAACTTTGACTTAAGACCTGTTAGTTGTAATAGATCTTGGTCACTGGTCAAGAAGACTCTCTGCACTACGCTTGGAAGTATTGGTGGCATAGTGGTTTATATGCTTGCCTGAAATGACAGTGGTCTTGGTTCACTCTTTAGAAGTGCAGGATTTTAAAAAAAAACATTTAGCTCTGGGGTCGACCTGGCCCCATAAAGCCAAAAGAAACGGGAAATTCTGTGCTGTATCCACAGTAAAGGTTGGCTAGTGTACTACTGTTGTCTTTGAGAATATCAAATGGTGAGGTAAAATAACTTCCATGGTGTCAGAAAACAGTGAGTACACTTTTTTGTCTACCGTTCACCATGGGAAACAAACTCTAATACATGAGGATCATGAAACTGTTAACTGCATTCACTAACCTTTAAACCACTGAACTGCATAGAGACTGGTTCCTGATAATTTCCAGAAATTTCTTAGAAGGACAAGTGATGAGGAGAATTGTTTAAAAAAAAAAAAAAGTAAAGGACCCTTTTCTACGCCTTTAGGCGTACAGGGCATATAGGGCTAGACCTATATTTTATAGACCAATCCGCACAAGATGGGTGATGTGGTCAGCATCACGCCGGCCGCCTCTACTTCCTGGGACTGCACCCGGTCCCACTCAAGGCTGGGTCAACCTGTGAGCCAAGGTCATTTTTTAAAAAAGTCTGGCTCTGCCAGGCAGCAAACCCATGACCTTCTGAACCCTGGTGAGTGTCTAACCGCTCTGCCATGGGGACTCTCAAATTGTCTAAACAAACTCATGAATGTGTTGGCACTATACCAAAGTCACCTAATTGAAAATTTAGCAATTTTCTCCTAAGTGCATTTTTAGGCCTGTTATTTGCATTTTGCAACAAGCCAACAGCACAAATGCCTATGCCAAACAAGTAAAAACAAATTTTAACTTTTCACACAACTATACAATTTTTCTTTTATTTTTTCAGAGATCTCGATTTTAAAATGTAATTTTTTTTTGGATACAAGGATTTAGTACTCTGGTTACTTTGACAAAGTACATACAAATGTTGTGGCCTAGAATTTAAAACTTCATGAATGGTTGGTTCTGCACCAATGGGTGGTGAAGTGATGCACAACAAGCTAGATGTAGCCAAGGCCCTCTGAGAGCAAGTGAACAATACAGAGAAACAAACTGATCATAGTGGTCTGAAGAGAGTGGTCCAGCTAGGAGGAAACCGGGAATGTGGTCGATACTCTACAATCAGAGGAACGGCAAGACAGACATAAAACTAGACTGCTACTGGTACCATCAGTATCAGAACTGTGCACTGGCTGCCCAAGACAGAGACGGAGTACTTATGGGAATGTCCTGAGTGCTGTGATATAAGCCCTCAACTCAACTCAGCATGAGAAGAAAACTGAAACATTTGACAACTGAAAATATTTATGGGAAGAGACAGAGGTAGACAATAACGGAAGATTCTTGACAGCCATTTTCTTGTTCTTCATGGCATGGAAGACTACTTCTTCTTTGTGTTGACTGGCTGTAAACTCCAGCGGAAAGTTCTGGTTGTCTAACTCTGGACTTTGGTCTCATTCCAGAACCTGACTGTTGCATGCACATTCATTTAACGGATCCTACTTAGTTGTATGCAGATTGTTGGCTCCTTGCCTCTCAAGCAGATGCAATCCGACCTCAAAGGAAGCCCCCAATTAGTGGTCTCTTAAGAAATGCTTGTTGGGGAGGCAGTGGGTCTATTTTTGTTTTTCCCACAAGTGGGCCCCTAAACCCAGACAGGGAAACATGAAAATGTGTCGGAACAGAAAATGATGCACGCTGTTGGAGGTCATACAATGTGGAAAAGCATGTTAAACCTTGTCAACCAGCAAGGCACTTGATGATGGAAATTCCCAGGGGATTAAACAAAGGACAATATGGAAAATTTATAGCACCTTAATTTAATTAATTGTATAGCCAAGTTTAGAGTTTGGAATTACTTTTGGATGAATTTCAACTGAAGAAGTTGACTGTTTACTTTTATCAACTTCATAGAGCTGAAAATCATCTGAATAGTTTCCAGAATAACTGGACAATGATATCACTACATTGTCTGGATCGGATGGCATATAAGAGCTAAGGGAGTCAGTATGCAGTGACCTAGGGGTTGGCTTTCGGGGTTGTGGAGTTGGACGTCGAGGACTGGAAGTGGTTGAACTTGGTGTGTCATTCCTTTCAATGGACAGATTTTTAATGTTTGGACCAATCTTCTGAAAAGGATCATACTGAGCTTTGAAGTCATTATCATCATTCTCTTCAACAGCAGTAACACTATTTGATTTTTTGGCTGTAGACCTTGATGAGCTAGATGACTCCAGTTTCTGAGAAAAAGAAGGAATGTAGCTGTGCATTGTAGGATCTTGTTTGTTTGTTGATCGTCTTACTGATGGAACTGGCGAGTTTTCAGATAGCTGTGGATTTATGACAGGGAATGGTTGCGTGCCTCTGGCTGGTACAACATTACTTCTGACAGCCCCATTGGAAGGATTCTCCTCTTCACTTAGAAGATCTTGCAGCTCCGGCTCATCAGTAGACTGAAACTGGCGTGTATCATAATCAACTGATTGAAGTACTTTTGAATCACTGTGATCAGAGACTATGTTCTTTGACTGTCGAGTTGACTCTAAAGGAGACTGATCATCACTTCCTTCAGAAATATTTAAGGATGCATTGACTGTACCATCAATTGACTCAGGCAATGAAATGTCTTTTGACAAGTACTTAGGAAAATTGATACTTAGAGACTCCCCTTTTTCCACCAAACTGTCATCAGGAAGAGGAATATTGTCACTGCTGTCATCTGGTGATGGGAGGGAAACCTCAACAGAGTGGTTTTTGGAACTTGCTTGGTCGGGACTCACTTGATCTGGAAAGAAAGGATCATGGTGATTGCTAAACAATTCTAAAATCTTGTACATTATTTACATTTGTGCATCTTAATATTAGTAAAATACAAAAGAACCAACAATAGACATCTTACAGAAGTAGTAAGTAAAGTAAAGCATCCTCTTCCACGCCATCAGGTGCAGTGGGCATATAGGGCTAGACCTATATTTTATAGACCAATGGCACTATCACAGGCAGGCTCAATGTGCTGAAAGCTAGATTCTACCTTCTGCATGAAGCCCTCAATACAGCTAAGGGTCACAGGCTGACTAGAGGGAAGTCTTAGATGGCACAAGTAGAAGACACGGTCAGAGATGTGTGTATGCTGGAAACAACTGGGACAGGAGAGAAATGGGTCAAAGTCAGCAGCTAACCTGAGGTATAACCTAGCTTGCAGCACATTCAGTCTGTCTAGAAAAGATATAAAACCGAACAAAAAGTATATTAGCAAGCTTCATACTAAAACAGTTGTAAGTGCAAGTTAATATCACATATAGACTATTGGGGTGTCTCTTGTATATCCTAGAATCACCCGCATAGCTCATTCTGTATGCATTCCAGTTTCACCAGATGACTCTTGTACAAGGTGAGCAGCGCCAGTCCATAATCCATCACTGAAATAATCAAGTGCTGGTATACTGTTTAAAGCATTCTTTGCTCCGTGTCCAATGCTACTATAATTTTCAAGGTGATACCCAGGTACCTCAAATATTCTGTTTATCCACTGATGATTTGCTCACTGATACTTTGTTCTATACATATTGGTGTGACCTTTCCTTTAGGATAAACAAGACAGGCATAGATAGGGATCATTACATGGTCTCTACAAAATCATCAAAGCTTTATGCTATAAACAGGAGGAATACAAAACAGACTTGTGTAGATGTTGTGTGCAATATATGGATATATGAAAGGGTCATTTTGTTGGTGATAAAGTCCATGTATTCATGTCCCTTGGAGTTTAGATGCAAACTTATTTGAGTAACATGTAAACTGAACCACAGACCCATTTGCCAGGCTTACAGGGTCGAGGACCTGTATAGCCAGGCAACTGGAGGAAAACTGTGGGGACATTCATGAATGAACTTTCACCATGGTGTGGTGCGATAGTGAACTGAGAGTGATCAGAGATCGTTGACTCCACTAAGTCAAAGAAATTGTTGATTCAGCGACGCTGAAGTGGAAGGTATGTTCTAGTCTGGGTGTTGCCAGACTAGAACTGCACACCTACATGCTACACTGGAGTTAAGTGTCAGGGCTATCTGCGGAAGTTGCCATGGTAGCCTTGTCTAGCTAATGGAGGTTCGTGAGGTGAGATCAGGGATCTCATGGTAAGTGTCAGGCCGCAGACCGAGGGTCTGGATAATCCCAACAAAATATTGGGCATCAACCTGTATGATCTCTCTTGTGACTGTATATCCAAGCGTTAGGTGTTGGAGAGAAGGTCATGTAATCATGAGCGGTGGATTTGCGCCAGCGGGTAATGCTTGCCAGTAGCAACCACAGGACACAGGGTAGCAGTAGAAGTCTTCCAGAGCGTCCTGAATGTGAATGCATTAGTAGTGAGAATGACTGTGGCAGTGTGGAAATTCGTGTCTCAAGATGCCGTTCATTGTCCTGATGTTGAAATACAGTAAATCTACTTTGACGGTCAACATGTGTCTGGCATCATCTATTACTGCTGGGCGGGAGAGGTGACTGGTAAATGTGACACTATTGAGGAAACCTAGATACTTGGCAAGTGTGCGGTGCATCAGGGAGCATCGCATGCCTCAGTAGGTTTCTAATGAAACTAGGTCAGGAGTGCAGGGATTGGCCAGAGACACTATTGATTCATAATTCTCACCCAGGTGGAGGCAGTCACAGTAGCTTTCCACTGGCTCCAAATCCAGCTGCACACACTTGTCACAAATGCAACCAACTCACAAAATATGTTAAGAAAGGTGAAGACATGTATGCTCCATGTAGAGTAGCAAGCATCGTTTCAGAGGTCCTGGGTAGTTAGCGTTCTTCAAATATTTTTTCTGGGGTAGACAGAAGTGTCTGGAAATCAACAGGCAGACAGACTGGCTGGTTCTGCACCAAGGGGTGGTTAATTTATGCATGACAAGCTAGATGGCAGCAAGTTAACAATGTGTAGGCATAAGGAGATTGTTTTAGTCTGGAGAGATGGGTAAAGCCAGCAGTAACCAGGGAATCTAGTTGACACTCTACTCAGTGAAAAGGCAAGATGGATGTATAATCAAACTGCTACTGGCACAATCAGAATTTGAAATTTTTCAGTGGCTGCTGAAAATGGAGAGGCAGTGTTTATGGGAAAGTCCCGAATGCTGTAATGTCAGTTCTTAGCTCAATACTCAAGGAGTTTCTGTGGTGAAGTGGTCAAATCATTTGCCTCACGCTCTGAATGTCAAGGGTTCATTTCACTGCTGCGTCGTTCAGTTCATGAGTGCAATTTTTGGGGAGTTCCCTGGGGATTGTGGATGGAGCTATGGAGTTCATGCTATGTGTGATGCTCTTGGCAGGTGGCAAGCCATTCTGCAGAGGGAGACTGAGCCATACAGGATAAAACCCGGTACAATAAAGTAGATCCTTCGATCCTCTCAAATTCATCCATTAACTTTAGCTCAACATTGAAGGCCGTGAATATCAGCATCTGTGCAGCAAACACCAAGGCTCGCGCCATATACCTCTTCAAATCCTGATGCTAAATGGCAGAGCCGGTTCTATAGAAAAGAAAAAACATTTATCAATACATATGAACATGTGTATGATTATCTTCCTACCTTCAGCATTGAACTCTTGATCATCATAAGGTGGCGATGTAATATTTCTGAACTGACGCATTTGAGGAACAGGTTTTGTTCTTGTAACCACACCAGAGCCTGGTGTGTCTTTTAACATCTCATTCTGCTGGGTTGCCATACTTCTGTTATGTTTTTGCCCACTTTTAAGTAAATAAGTGTTATGCACATTTGACTTGCCTCCTACAGGTCTTTTATTTGTGTCCACTTGCTTTGATTTTCTTGTTGAAAGTTTAGTATTTTTATCTTTCCCTCCAGGAACAGTATTCTTAGGATGCTCTGTGGATGGCTCTAGAGAAGACTCGCCTGCTTTTGTTACATTTAGAAGAGTATCCTCAGATGCTGTGTTGTTTAGTTCTTTCTCTGCTAGTCGCCTCACTTCGGTTAGTGTGTCAGACAAAAGTTCTGCAGATATCTCATCAGTTTCAGTTTCTTTCTTAGGTGGTTGTGTTTTCAATGTCAGATTGGGCATCTTTCTTTCTGCTGTTTTTAACCATTGTGGATTTGTTTTCTGAAGTCTCAACCGCTGAGTATGTGTCATTCCATAAACAAGTTTCGATTTTTTGGGTGGATGTACAAATGTCTGCTTTTGACCTTGTTTGATTTCTTGTTTGCTTATATTAAGCATTGCTGAAGTCTGGGAATTTTTTGGTCTGGAGGGTTTTTCAGATCTGGCAATATTTCCGTTTTCTGTGGAGTTCTCAATCTTTCTGGCTAAGGCAGCAGCAACTGCATATACTGCAGTTGGTGACAATTTATCCTTTTTCTGTATTTGATGAATCTGTTCTTTTTCATTAGGAGACTGGCTTGACTCCTGAATTTTCTGAGATGCGGCCTGCATTTGATTGGACACATTTAGTAACAACTGTGGGTTTTGAATGCAAGAAAGTTCATTTAAAAGAGCTGTCAATAATGGGAAAACTGAGCTTGGATTAGGAGCAACCTGTAGACCCTTGACAGTTTCACCAGCTCTTGCTTGAGGCACTGGTCTTTTAGGGGATACATATGGTTTCCCTGGCTGAATATAATCTTGGTGAATAATTTCTTCAATATGAGTCTCAACATTTTCCAAACCTTGCCCATCGTAACTGTGAATGTCTGATAAATCATCAATGAATTCTTCAGGGTGAGATTGTTGTCTATCTATCTTTATTCTAGGTGATGCTTTACTGTTGTAGAATAATGGAGGAGGACACACTATATTGTTTATTATCACATCTTCATATTCATTAGGCTGAGACTGAGCAACTTTAAACCATTTCTGCTGGGCACTCTGGGCTTCTTTTATTTGAGTTCTTTTTTCTGTTTGAGTAGCTAAGCTATGTGATGCTTTTTGAGCCATTACTCCTGCTTCTGTTTGGACACTAGAATCAAACAAACCAACAAGAACTGCTTTATCATGCATTTCTACAGTCTGCAGCATTACATCATTTTTCACTGGGTCTGTCATACATGCTGAGTTTCTTAACTCAACCTCAAAATCATCTTCAGCTTCTGTTTCTGCTAAATGATTATGAATCACTTCACTACTACTCAGATTCTTTCTGACTTGCCTTGATTTTGACTGCTTTTGTAAAAGTATAGATTCTGGTAGATGAGGAATCAAGCTTGGCCCAAGACACAGCAATCGGAATCCTAGCACAAAATACCCAATCTCATTTCCCATGAGATTGTACAGCTTAAACAGTCCCTTGTCTCCGTGTACTGATGGAACTGTAGGCCCAACTTTTGCAATATCAACACATATCAAATCCATTAATGTATTCAGTGGTACTGAACTGTTCCCTACAAGTTTTGGTACTTCAGGAAATAAGTCGATGACCATAACATACAGAGGAGTATTTGCTAGGTGTTGTCTTAGGATATCTGCTGGCATTCTCATGAGGCATGATTTTCCCTTGTTGATCATAAAATTCCCATGCTTGTCTTTCAGTTCTATAAACTGATCTGGTAGTCGATAAGATTGGTCAAAAGATATCTTCCTCCTTATAGCTGTGCCAAGTTCGTCATCAACATGTTTTATAACAATTGTTGGAAAGTCTAACAGCCGAAATGCGATTGCTGGGAATCTGCATGGAGTGTGGGGTATGTATAGTTTCTCCACCACAAGTTCTAATGAAAACAGAGAGTCTTCGAGCTTTTCTATTCCTTGTTGCGGCATTATAATTATTATTGAATAATACTGTACGCACCTGATTTTAATTAAAGAACACAAGTTAACCTCTTCAACACAAGCTCCAGCGAAAACAGAGTACTCAAGCTTAATTTAATGACCTTTTTGCTGCATTATAATATTTCTTTTTTATAAATATATTAGAACTACAGGTACAATTCATGTTGATATAGCATGATTAACAAGCTGAATCTTGATTCTAACTAAAGAACAACAGATGTCCACAACCACAACAGCTTCTGAGTTCTCCATCATTAAGTTCTCTATTGAATGGAAAACAGTCCACAGGCTCTTAGCTCTAATATTTGCAGAAGTTGAGGTATTATAACATTTTATTCATAACAGTACTGTTAGCGTACTGTTATTTAAATATCAACTGTTATAATATAAAAATATTCAATACTATTCACTGCAAGAACCTAATTCACTGATTGATTCTTCAGTTAGTTAGTTACATACACTGTAATTAAATTATAAGTGCTTTATAATTTTAATGATTTTAGTAAATAGCAAAAAACGGCGGTTTAACTATTGCGGTAATACTGTTAAATCAAAAGTAGGAGGCTGATGACAACTAAACAAAATAGCTGCTTAAAGTCTATATCCATGAGCAAATATAAATAATTCAACCGGTGGTCTCGAGAAACAAGTAACAACTCGTTGAACTGACTTATCTAGCAACAGGTAAATAAGAGAAGAGAAAAATAAAAACGAAACAATACAAATACATTTCGGGAAAGTGAAACACTAAGGCGGTGACAATTAATAATGTTATTTACTTATTTAAAAAAAATGAATTACTTAAAGTAAAAAAAAAATTGCATAAAATGTTTGCTATAAATAATTAAAAAAAAATCTTGAAAGATTAATAATTATCAATTTTGTACGGACAACATCTATTTAAAAACATGAATCGCATAGACAAATTGTGGTAAATACAAAGGGATAGGAGGGTAGTTGTGAAAGTGATTATGAAGTTGTTTCTCGTACTTGTACTTTGTTTTACTTTTTCTTTTTAAGTCATGTCTTCTTTGCCAGTTAACACGTTATCCCTTAATCTAGGAAATAAAATACTTAATATCGCAAGGGTGTCATCTTGTGTTACGATTTAATGATGATTATTTTGAAGTGTTTTCAGTGAGTTTGTGATTCGATTTTATTTATTTATTAATAATAATAATATAATAATAATAATCTTACTGAGTTTATTTTGTTGCTGTTGCCATTTATACCTAGTAGGTAGACTGCCGTAAAGTAAAGATTGTTGAATAATATTACATTGTGAGCTTCTTTCTAATTTCTCGCCAGTGCCATTATTCTGAGTGTGTTTAATTTTAATTAGTTAATAATTAGCATGTTCAGGCTCAGGAAGCAAAGAAATGTTTCATTAACAAGTCTAATGTGACAATATTATTATGATGCATGTCGTAGTAGGCGACCATGGATGGTGGAGGGCGAGCATGAGGATGAGGCTTCCTCATTCCTAACATACATGTAGTTGTACCGGACCCTGTAGAATCCAGTCAGTCAAAGGGTTTGACTTGAGCTGGTTGAGGGTATATGTTTAGTGGTAAAGTGTAGTCTGCTTTTTTTTTTCTTTCTGGCAGTACAGTTCTGGCAGCTTTTTTTTCAGTGGTTACTTCTTCTTCTTTCGTTGGCTTGAAATAGATTATCTATATCTGCAATGTAGTCTGCTCTAGTATAAACTTCACTGTCTTTTGTTATTCAATCAGCGACCCCTAAAGTTTGGCTTGCACTGCTATAATTTATCTTGGCCAAAAGTTTCGCCTTGATATATTGAACATGGGACAGTCATGGAGGATGTGATCTGTTGTCTCAGGTGCTAATCCAGATGTACACATGGCTGAGCGCTAATGTAATATGATTTAGTTTTATGTTACTAGGCCTTACCATTATTTTTTTTTTAGAAAGGCTAACAATTGAATTAAAGTATTAAGGTAAAGTAAAAACTTAAAAAAAAAAAAAGTAATTTACTTGTGCAGAAATGTGTATTGTGATACTGTCTTCATCACTTATCAGCTTTCTGAATTATGGACTTACCACTGTAAGTCTACCATGGGGTTAGGGACTAGACACTCACCTGTGGATCTGGAGGTTGTGGATTCAAATCCTAATGGAGCTGGACTATTTTCAGAAATGACTCTTCCCCCAGGCTGACCCAGCTTTAAATGGGTGCAGGTAAAGTCCTGGGAAGTAAAGGTGGTCGGCGCAATATTGAAACATCATGGACAAAATGGTAATTGGTTTATAAACTATAGGTCTAGCACTTTATGCCCAATAAGCCTCAAGGCGGGGAAACGGGTCTTATACAATACTTGTTATAAAGGTAAAGTCAGGAGATGTGAACAAGCTTCATTGCACACGGTTATAAACCATAAGTGCTCTGCCACCAGTATGGACAGCTGACAAGAAAATGTCCGCCTGTGTCACCGTCCGCACGCAACTCCATAGCTACAGCGACGTTCCTCCATTTATCCCAGAGTGTTAACTCTGGTACCCGTTACCTAGAGGCTGGGTGAACCCCAGGAACCGCCCGGTTTGAAACACGGTCGTGGGCTGCAGTGAGTCGCAGCTGGATTTGAAAGTGAGTCTCTTATCGACTGCGCTAATGTGGCCCTGACAATACTTTTAATTAAATCCAGTATGCTATCTCTAGAGATGTTGTTATACTGAAAAATGGAAAGACAGAGAGGAAAAACAATGATTCAGATGCAGAGTTCCTGGAGAGACTGGTGATGAATAAAGAACCGCTAAAAGAAGTTAAGTTAAAAAAAAAAAGAAAAAAAAGGAAAGACAACTGAAATATGCTACATTAAAAGACATAATGATCGTTCAAAACCTATACTGGGAGAGGGGGTTGAAGGCAAGAGAGCAAGAGGTAGACATTGATACCAGTAGGAAGACAACATTAAGAGTTTGAACTACAGTCTAAGAGGGCAAGAGACAGAAAATGTTGGAGATCCATTGCAGCTAACCTTCCTTGTAGAGATGGCAACTGATTGATTAATGAGTGCCATAAATGAATCAAAACAGCATTTTACCATTTGTGTTTTCCATAAATTGAGAAGCGGCCAGCTGAGGGGTAACAGTGTCAGACTTTCATTTAAGAGACCTGGGTTCGGTGATGTTTTTATGTTTGGGACAAAAATAATCATCCTAACTTGCACAGTCCACTGCGGCAGCACTAGCAATGTGGCCTTAAATCCTCGGGCTCATGACCCCCCCCCCCACCCCCCCCTCGTCTCATCCATCATCATCAAGTGCCTTGTCAACTGGCATGGGAGATCATGAATCTTCAGAAACTGCGATCCGCAACTGCATGTATCAGTTCGTGAGTTGACACTCCTCCATGCCATGATGAAAGACTGTCAAGAATCTTCTCACGCTGTCTTCCTCTGTCCTTCTTTCCACAGACTTTCCTGTGGTCACAACATGTTCCATTTTCCCTCTTCTAATTACATGACCAAAAAATGATGTCTCTTTCTGATGGTTGTGATAAGGTTGTCTTCGAGCACTCACTTCTTTCAAAACATCTGGGTTACTCTTCTTAGCTGTCCAAGGATTCTTCTGGAAAACCACATCTCCGAGGCCTCAGAAAATTGTTCAGTTTGTTTATTAATTGTCCAGGCTTCACAGCCGTATGTTAAAACTGGCACTATATATATGTAAGAATTATTTTCCCAACCTCCAGTGTCACAGATTTATTGCACAACATTTATTTTGTAAAATGCTGTTTTGGCCTGTCCTATTCTATTCTTTATCTCTGTGATAATCTTCCATCGGATGGTATCCATGTGCCTAGATACCTAAATTTCTGTACTTGTCCTAAAAATAACGCCTTTGACATTTTTGTTATGCATGCAAGCAATAATCTTGTCTTGGAAGTCACCATTACGTCTGTCTTTCCATTATTCAAACTGAGGCCCATTTTATCACTTTCTACCACCACCGTATTTATCAATTCTTGTAGTTCTTTCTGACTTTTTTTAGACCCCTTGTCTGCACTGTCCTTAAAGTGGTAAATACAGATAATAGTGGTAGTGACAGTGTTTTTCCACAGTTAATACAGTTTCTCTAGTGTCTTAGTTGCTGTGGTTACTTTTTCAGAGGCATGAGTGGGAAAAGAACATAATTCAGTCTTAAAATGAAAGTTGCAAGTAAGTCTGGACCGAACATCATAGATGAGGAAATAGGTGAAGTGCAGTTTGAAATCGTGATTGACGATGATGAGGATGACGACATACTTATACAGGCTGAAGATGCGTCATTTGGAGAACAAACGGAAGAAAAGGAGAAAGGTAAGTGATGAAAAAAAAAGGACTTTTAGACTCTTGCTTATTTTCATCAGGTTACTTAAGTTTCTCATGTGTATAGAAATTCTTACCGCCTCTCACATTGCTAATCTAATAGACCTGTTTTCTGAATGGCATAGGTGTAAAAGCTGTGATGCTATTTAAAAACAAATATCGCCCGCTCACTAGATCAGTTGGTTAAAACCCTCTTCGTGGCGACCGGGTGATGAACTCCTTGTGGTCCAGGTGTATGCCTGGGTCAGGCAGAAAAGCCACATTTCTCCCAGATGTACATTATCTATCATGGAATCAAGGCCGAAGGGTTGCGATATCCATAGTAACAAGCCAAAGGGTTTACAACTCATGGTTTCTGGATACGTTAAAAATTTTTTTAAAATTCACTGGCATAACAAAAAATAAATACAAATTATTAGAGAATGCACTCTTCCTAAGGCAACATATGGATGTAAGTCATGGATATCACAATTAGTACAGAAGAAAATCAGTTCTTTTGAATGAAATGTTACGAAAATATACTTAAAATACTTTGGAATAAGGGAGCCACCATTGTGTAGCAGCTAGAAGATCGCCTGTGGATCAGAACATCGGGGGTTTGGGTTCTCACAGAGCAGGATTTTTTTTTTTCAAAAGTGACCTTTGCTCCCAGGTTGACCCAGCCTGGAGTGGGTACCTGGTGAACTCCTAGGAAGTAGAGGCAGCTGGTGTGATGCTGGCCATATCACCTACTAAGTGTCAGTGGGCCTATAAATCGTATCGTATAAAATCAAACAAAAATTCCAAGCTTAGCCGTTTTGTAGCCGCCTGATGGCCTTCTTTTTCAAGGACGGTTCCTTTGCTATCTTATTATATTTATCTTCCTTTGTGGTGAGCAATTACACCTGAGTTTGTTCATTTGTTGCCTAAGTTCTGGTTTTGATGGGTCCTGATTTCTGTTTTAGTTGGCTATCCGCTAGCTGTTGCACTGTTCATCTGCATTATCCAGGCCTATAAAATATAGGTCTAGGCTTATATGCTCAGTACACCTAAAGGTGTTGAAAAGAGTCCTTTAAACTTTATTTTACTTACTGTAGAATAAAAAAAAAATATTTAAAAAATATACAAATACAAATTTTCTACGATATCTGGTTTTGGGAGAGTCCTTGACTCACATTCATCTTAGTTCTGGAGACAGTCCTTTATGATTAGCACTCATAGAAAGAAGTAGAGAACTAGAAAGGCACTGTAGACAACAAATTTGAAGCCATGTTTACCATACTGGTACATCATTGTACAGATGTTTTTGTTCTCTAGCCACCGGAGAGTTGCAGTTACCGCCTCCACCTCCATTCTCATGCTAGACGTTGTGGTATCGTATGCTAGGCTGTCTTGCAGTAAAGATTTTCAATTGCATACACATTTCCATTTTCCATTGCATACACATGTTGTAATTGTAACAGTCTCTGAAAGTATGCAGAGAAAGGTGAAGACAGGGATGCTTCGAGCAGAGTGGCAAGCTTCACTGGAAAGATCACGGGTAGTGAGCATACTTTGGATCTTTTCCCTTGGTCATGCCGGCGTGGTGGGCAATGAACAGGCAGACAGATTGGCTTGTTCTGCACCGCTGGGTGGTAAACTGATGCATGACAGGGCAGATGTTGTCAAGGCCCTTTGGGAACAAGTAACGGAATCAGTAGAGAAACAAGATTATGAGAATGTCCCGAGTGCTGTGATGTCAATTCTTGACTTAACTAACTAACTGACAGACGTTTTTGCTGTCATTTTAACATTTCAGTAATACAGACACTAGCTATACATTGCACATTTTATTGCCAGGCATAATTTGCTGTATTTCATCAGGTGCAATAGTACAGAGTTACATTAAGCACGACCGGCTCCAGCTGACGGGCTGTGCTGCTGACGTCACCTAATGATGTGTTAACGCAGCGGTTCTCAATCAAGAAATAAACTATTATCGACAGTGACGAGGAAAGACTACTTGATTTTTAACTTTAAAGTATCTACATGCCTTTTTAAATAATTTTCACAATTTTTAGCCGACTTTTCTTGATTAACACTGCGGCACACGCTCACGGTACTCTAGGGTGCCTTGTCACCCAGTTTGAGAACCGCTGCGTTAATGCATCGTTAGCACAACCCGTCAGCAGCATGGCCTGTCAGCTGGAGCTGGTTGTGCATCAACATTCATTTCACTGAAGTGCACATCTCATGGTCTGTCTGTCTTTCTCTCTCTGTGTCTCTCTATCTCTCTATCTCTCTGTCTGTCTCTCTCTCTCTCTCTACACTGTATGTCTAATAGCCAAAAGTTCATAATAGTCACATACAGTGTATTGTTTTTATCCATGTTAGTGAAATCCACAACGAGAAAAGATTATTTTCATTTATTTTATATTACAGAAACGGAGATTGACCTGACAGGCATTGATTTTGATGAAGAGATGGAAGTTGAGGAAGCTGCCAATATATCAGTAGGTGTGTCTAACACGATTGGAGACAGCCATGACTCAGGGGGATCTGGATTTGACCTTTCCACTGGAAATCTGTGGATTTACCCAACAAACTATCCAGTGAGGGACTACCAGTATAACATAGTTCAGCAGGTGGGTGTTTTTTGTTGACATTTGGAAAAGAATATTGGGGTGTTGAGAATGAAAAGCACATGGAATAGAACCACAGAAAATGTAGCCAAAAATACTGAAATGTGAATAGAGCTGAAGAAGTGCAGCCTGGAAAATAAGTTGAGTTACTTCTTTTGTAATATGAAAGTATCGACTTGTTTTGTAATATGAAAGTATAGACTTCTTTTGTGATATGAAGGTATAGACTTCTTTTGTGATATAAAAGTATAGGCTTCTTTTGAAATATAAAAATATAGGCTTCTTTTTTTAATATTAAAGTATAGATTTGTTTTGTAATGTAAAAGTATAGAATTCTTTTGTCATTTAATAGTATATACTTCTTTTGTGATTTGAAAGTTTGGACTTCCTTTGTGATATGTGGTATAGACTTATTTTATGATGTGAAAATATAGATTGTATACTGTGAAAATGTATAATTTTACGATGTGCAGATGTGGAACTTTTGTGATGTGATAGATTTCTTTTATGATGTGAAGATGCAGATTTCTTTTACAGTGTTAAAATATAGATTTCTTTTACGATGTAAAAATATACATTTCTTTTGTGGTGTGAACAAATAGATTTCTGTTACGGTGTGAAAATAACGATATTTTTTTTAACGATGTGGACATGTAATTTTTTTAACGATGTGAACATACAAACTTTCTTTAATGTGAAGATTTATACAATTTTGTGTGATGTAAAAATGTAGGCAACTTTTGTGATGGGAAAATGTGGACTTTTTGCTTTACAAACAATGACTTGTAGTATAAACAAATAACCTTTCTTTCCACAGGCATTATATAAAAACACTTTGGTAGTGCTGCCCACAGGTCTTGGGAAAACCTTCATTGCAGCAGTTTTGATGTACAATTTCTTCCGCTGGTTTCCACAAGGCAAGATTGTCTTCATGGCTCCTACGAAACCTTTAGTGGCTCAGCAGATTCTAGCCTGCTACAACATTATGGGAATACCCAAGGAAGACACTGTGGAAATGACAGGCAAGCTGTGAACAATGAAGTTATAGTTAGTTGCATGTCTTTGTTTTCCATAACTTTGCAAACCAACACAGAGTTTAGTGACTGTTTGTTGGATGTAAAAGGACTCTTTTCCCTGCCTCCAGGCGTATTAGCATAGACCTGTTTTATAATCAGCACGTGCTGGCTGCCTTTACCTCCCATGACTTTACCTGGTACCATTTAGGACTGAGTTGCCCTAGAAGCTAAGGTCATTTATTAAAAAAAATTTAAAAAAAGGCCAGCACCGTTCGGATTTTAATCTCTGACTTTTGGATCCACAGGTGAGCAGCTATCAGCTAAGGAAAACAGCCATATATGCCTGGGTGGTTTAGAGTCACTAACAATAGAGCACATACTCAGGACTGTCCCAGATATGGCACATTAAAGGAAACCTATTTTGACTACATATTTGACACACAGATGTTGTAACAATCCTTTGTATCCAAATTATTAACCCACCTTTTGCGTAAAATGTCTCTTTTGACACTTAAGACTCTGGCTTTTGGTGCCTAAAAGTAAACAGCTTGAATTATAATGAGTTGAGGTAACGTTAAATAATTAAAAAATTAGAAATATGAAAGCAGTCGGTGAAGAAATTTAGGATTTTGGCTATTACTAACACGGGAACTTTTACATTTTTACTTATATAGATTGTTTGAGTTGAACTCCATGTAGTGATTTGATATTGGAGTTTAAATATTCCAGGTATGGTACTAAGTATAATAAGCTCCCTCCCCGACCAACAACCACCCACCCACCCCACGCTATATTGTTATTTTTTATGTCTCTATATTTTCCACTGTGTTGCTGCAGCTTAAGACACTCTTAGCCAGCCATAATAGGTGATGTTAAATGTAGCAAAATGTAATGGAACATACAGAGATATAAAATAACAATATGACGGGAAATGGGAAGGAAAAAAATGATGGGGGGGGGGGGGGGGGTGCTTTCATAACACTAGAAAATGTGTGAAATCGAAAGAAATTGAGCTTAGTACAAGGCTTGGATTTAAACTCTGATGTCAAATCACTACTGCTTCAAGGGGCAGATTTTTATAATTAAACAAGAGCTATAAGATTGACCCAGTCTGAATAATAAGTTAGTTGTGTATGCTATATAGGACGTTGCAGAACCAACCTATTAATTTTCGGCTGTTTGTAGTTTCACTAGGCAGTTTTATGTTTAGTAGTTTGCCTTTGTCTTATAAGGTCCAGGTTATATCAGTGTGTTGGGAAATGAGCAGGCAGATAGACTGGCTGGCTCTGCACCACTTGGTGGTGAATTGATGTATGACAAGTTAGATATTGTGAGGGCTCTTTGGGAGCGAGTGAACAGTGCAGAGGTGCAGTTAAGTTATTACGGTCTAAGGAGAATGGCACTGCGAAGAGTTACCAGGGGATCTGGCCGACGCTTAACACTCAGGGTAAGAATGAGACGGATATACAATCAGACGGTTACTGGTACCATCGGAATTGGAACTCTTTGTTTGCTGCTGAAGATGGGGACTGAGCACTTATAGGAGTGTCCCGAGAGCTGTGATGTCAAATCTTAATTCAACATTCATCATTCTCTGTTTTATAAATGGTCAGTCTTGATACCACTATTGAAACTAATGCAAGGCGGTCAGCTACTAAATTGTCACTGCTGGAATTAAACCCAGCACCTTGGAATTATGAAAAGATATCAAACCAGGGCTATACAAACGTTAGTCTCCCCAATAAAAAGCAGGTCATGCTCCATTCATAAATTTTTGTGCCAGTCTACTTTCCTGCAGGTTACTGTTGTGCCACTCTGTTGTTTGCTTTCTGGGTTTTCTTGCATTTACCTTTTTATTCCAAGAAAGAAAATGCCTGTGACATAGGTTTCATGACTCTCTAAAGGGGTTTTGCGTTAGACCCATTATGTCGATGTTTTTGGAGTGTTAACGCTGGCGTGCTAAAATATGCAACATGCGATATCAACGACATTGCCAATCAAAAGTGAGCTAGTGTGTAACACTGTGTAAATGGGGAGACTATTGTTTGTATTACCCAAACCAGATGAAAAATATCATCAGTCATCCTCACAATATCACAAATGACATGTGAACCTTGAGACTAGAGAATCTTCAGCAGAAAATTACATAAATCTGCACTACCAGAAGTACAAACAAAAATACACAGAATCACTTATCTGATGTTATCTTTGACAGAAATCACATTGCTGTCAGGCCAGTAGAATTCCACTTTGGAATTATTAAGCATCCAAAATGATTATAAAATATAAAGGTCTGATATGACGGTGGTATATAAAGAGACTTTTTCTTGACTTTTAAGAGTGTTAAACAACTTGCCTTTCAGGAACAATGTCACCAACACTTCGTCAGAAAGCCTGGAGGGAAAAGAGAGTGGTGTTTCTCACCCCACAGGTCATGACCAATGACTTGAGTAGAGGATCTGTGACGGCAGAGAGTATTAAGTGTTTGGTGTTGGATGAAGCCCACAAGGCACTGGGCAATCATGCATATTGCCAGGTAAAGGGATTCTTTTTACTGTGTCCTGCTGTTGTGCTGTTAAGTGCTGCAGAGAGGACTTAGATGTAGTTTTCAATGTCGAGCTTGATCATATGCCCTGAGATTACTACTCTTATTTCTTCTCTAATAAAGCCAGTAGTACAGGTCATCGAAGAACAACAAATGAAGTGGTTTGGACACTTAACAAGAATGCCCTGGTACTATCTGCCACAGTGAGCCACACTAAAACATTACAACAGGTATAGAGCGAGTGGAAGACCTCAGAAAAGATGGGAGTGATGGCATCAAGAACAGCCTTACAGAAATGACTATCAATCTTAATAGTGCTCTTGACAGAGCTCATCAACGAATGTTACATCTCCCCCTGATACTTCGATGAGGTACAAAGTGGAAGAGAAGAAGAAGAAGATTTCTTCTCTTCTTGTCATGAGCATATGTGTTTGAACAGTAATTCCCTGGCAGCTTGCTGGGCTTGTTACTGTAGTTGTGGTTTGGGTCAAGAAAAACTGCAGCCAAAATATCTGTTTTTTCTTGTGTCAACCTTGTTCCCCTCCCCCCTTCATTACGCTTCCTAATATCACAGTTCAGCTGAGAAATTTCTTGGTATTAGCTTGACTGCAGTCACCCCTGTTGTTCCCTCCCCCTCTTCTCCCAGGCAATTTAATGTTCAGTAGTTTGCCTTTGGTTTATACACGGCCAGCTCCAGTAGTTAGGCCTGACAGGTCCACGGATATTCCCGTTTTGTTAGGCCGATCCACGGTCGGTCTGTGCTCACCATTGTTATCGAGTAAATTTGTACACAAATTAAAGTAATTTAATTAACTTGCAAAATATTTAATTTAATGAAATATCATTATTAAGATAAATAAGTGAGCCATTAGAAAATAGAATAATAATAATAAAATACTCAATAAAATATTTTGCAAGTCAATAAAACTTAATTTTAATTTGTGTATACATTTACTTGATAACAGACTGGCCGTTCACCGACCTAGCAAAACGGGAATTTCCGTAGACCTGTTTGACCTTATTGCTAGAGCTGGCCATGGTTTTATAAATGGCCAGTCATGATACCACTGTTGAAACTAATGCTAGGCAGTCTGCTACCTAATCACCCACAGCTGGGATTGAACCCAGCACCTTGGAATTATGAAAAAATTATGAATTATGAAACCAAATGAAAAGTATAATCGGTCATCTTCACAATATCACAAATGATAAGTGAACCTTGCGACTAGAAAGCTTCATCTTTACATTACATAAATCTACAATACCAGATGTACAAACAAGTATACACTTATCTGATGTTATCTCTGATAGAAATCACATCGCTGTCGGGCTAGTGACCCCTGTTGCCCCCCCCCCCCCTCTCTCTCTCTCTCTCTCTCTCTCTCTCTCTCTCTCTCTCTCTTCAGGAGGCAAACTTGTTTGAAAAATAACACTGAGAATAAAATGTTTTCAATCCCTGATAGCTTGATCATATTGTATGGAGGAGACAGTAACACAGATCTGAGGTTCTGGTGAAACTGACTCACAAAGAGAACTGATTGCCCACATCAGAAAGAGACAGTCTGCATTCTTTGGTCATGTGATGAGAAGGAGAAAACTGGAGTACAACGTGGCAGTAGGAAAGTTGGAGGGGAGGAGAGGCAGAGGGAGACAGAAAAGATTCTGGACAGTTTGACATCATGGCATGGAAGATCATCTGTGTCAAAGTTGATTGAAAGTACACGAGACAGAAGGTTGAGGATAGACATGACTACCAACACCATGCAGCATGGACTTTAAGAAGAAGAAGAGCTTCTGGTGGTTGTATGAAAGTGCACACCCAAACCACCTATGTTTATCAGATTGGCACATGAGGATAATGATGATAGTTCAGTGCAACATTGTTTTCTTTTTTCCTAGGTTGTACGAGAGCTGATAAAATTCACACGAGAGTTCAGAGTTCTGGCACTAAGTGCTACGCCGGGAAGTGATCTGAAGGTAATTAACCCTTTGGAGATGGAGACTTATTTATAGCTTCAGTGCCAAGAAGACGGAGCCTGTAGGAGGGAATTCTCTTAATTTTCACACACAAAATTATTTTTTTTTAAAATTGTTTAATTAACGTATACAAAACTTTATATTCTTGTAGGAAATGAAATAAACTAACAAAAGTTAAATTAATTACACTGACATTCAGTGAAATCTAAACATATATTAAAATCATGATGGCCCTCTAGATACATCCGGCACATGGTTCTACTGCTGCCTCCTGCTGTGTTTTAGTTGCTATGGCGCAACAGACCTTTTAATCATTGTTGAAGAAATGTGAAAAGTAAATGATTGGCAGGTATGAAGACCAGCCAGCAATCTCAGCGCTTGTATTAATGGGCCGACAGATCGCCCAGTCATCTTTTTTTGGCCAGTTTGCTGTTTTGCAATTATTAAATTTACTTACTTCTGTTTACCTCTTAAAAAAAGGTGTGATATTATTTGGGGTGAAAAATCAATTTTTCAATGTGACATCATAATAAACTTATGCTGATTCAATTTTTTTTCTTGGTCAAAGGGAAGGAAAATGGTTTTTCTTTGCTCTTTTTGTATTTAGAAATTACTTCCCTTCATTTTATAATCACCTTTGTCCAAATAGTGACTAAATGTGAAAAATCCATTGTTTCAGTGATTTGGGAGCTGTGATGATGCAATAACTAACAGGCTTGCCTGTCTGTTTCATGGTTCCTGGAATTTTACAACAACCGACAAAATCCCCAGATTTACTTTGCTTCTTTTTTTTTAATTTTTTTTTAATTTTCATAGGGCAGAGTTTTAGAGAATTATAACGATGTGTTAATTGTTATGGAATTTTGAAAAGGGTCATTTTCAAAGCTTTTTGGGGGGTTAGGTAGGTAGTTAGTCTTTCCTCTTGAGCCTAGGGCGGTGCATAGGGCAGAGGTCATAGCTCTCCGTGTCTAGTAGTTTGTTGCCACCTATTTTATTTAGGTCTTGAATGTTCATTAGGCCTATGCAGGGTGAAAGAGTTAAAATGATAATTTATGTTTATTATCTTCTTTTCCCAGGCTGTGCAGCAGATGATGACTAACCTTCTGATAAGTCATATAGAGCTGAGGTCTGAGGAGTCGATCGACATCAAAGCATACACACATGAGAGGAGGATTGACAAGATTGTTATACCCATGGGGGAGGAGCTCAGTGGGCTTAGATTGATATATATTAGGGTATAGCATTTTACTTCTGCTGCCTTTCATCCCCCAATGTTCCTGTGTGGGTTCGGGTGGTTCCATTTTGGAAAACAAAGGATAGACCTACTGCTCCCCTTACAAATATGTTGCCGTGCTTCACTTTAGAGAAAAAGAAGAAACTCTGCCCCCCACAAACATGATGTAGGAGGCGACTAATTAGGTGTGTTTTCCATCAAAGTCAAAATGTATGTGAATGAGAGGCAGAGAACCAGCAGTCTACATACCAATGACAGGGTTCGTAGTGGATCGGGAAATTACCGGGATTTTTTTCCGTTGACCTTGAACAGGGATTTTTTAGCTTATAAAAGACATTCCGACCTTGAAAAGCCGTGAATTTTGACCGCCGCAATAAAATCGTCAGAAATCCTGTGATTTTCAGCACAGGCAATTTTTGGGGAGCCCTTTGGCTTTTTTGGCCATTTGGCTAGTTTTTGGCTACTTTTGTTGTATAGTCGTTTCAGGTGTGAGGGCAGCTGATTATTGGCTATTTTCAGCCGAAATGGCTTGTTAAAGGCCAGGGAAGGGCGGGCTGTGTTGCAGATCATGAATACATGCAGACAGCAGCGGTGTGGCATGGGGCGGGAAGTAGCAGCTTCCGTCTCGTGCTTGTTTCTAGCGAGTCGGGCAGAATGAACAGTATAAATCGTTTATGGTTGTGGTTTTTTAGAAAGGATTACATTGGGAGATGGTGGGGCTCAGTTCAGTTGTATTTATAAATAGAGTCGCCATGGTGGGGGCTAAGCACGGCCTTCTCTATTAATTAGAGATGGCATTGGGGCTAAGCAAAGTGACTGCAGCTGGATTTCCCAGTTTTATTTTTGACCTGGATTTATCTTTACAGTGTGTTTGGCGATCAGTATTGTAATTCCCTCTTCTGTTGTCTCACCCCTCTCTCTCTCTTCCCTCCCTCTTTCACTCTTCTACCTATTTCTCCTTCCTTCCCGTCTCCTGCATTGTCTCTAACCCTCCCTTCTGATCTTCATCTTCTTCTCTCTCTCTCTATCTTTCTTTTTACTCTCTCATTTCCTGTCCCCCCTCCCCCTTTTCCTATTTTATTTCTTGTTTAAATGTTTAGTAAATGTGCGGCTCCATAACTCTTCCTAGCAACTCAAGTACACAGGAAGTTGTATTTGGAGGGGGGGGGGGGGGGGGGGGGGGGGGCTCTCTCCTCTGTTCTTGAGGCGGGGCTTGGGGGGGGGGGGGGGGGGGGGGGGGGGGCTCCTCTGTCTTACCCTTACCACCTCAGCCTTCTACACCACTTTCCACCATTTCCTCTCTCCTCTCCTTTCTGTAATTGGAAAACCAGAAATAAAATGAAGTCCACTGCTGCCCTGACCTATTTATGTGTGTGGGTAAACTTTATTTTCCACCAGTGGTGGGTTAGGATCCCCTGGACTTTTTTCTTCTTCATAAAATTACCTTGGCTCTCAGGTCACCAGCCTTAAGTGTAAGAAATTGAATTATTGTTGTCACACACAGATAGGACAAGCATGGGGCAGTAGGGGTTAGCACTGTTGTTTATGGGCCACATTCACATTGGGAGAGGGTAGGAACTGGAAAAGTGGCCTCACTTAGAGATTTCCTAATTCTATTTTTGGCACTCAGTGTTCTTACACCCCCCCCCCCCCCCACAACCGTATCTTACCTCGCTTCTCTCACCCCTTCTCTTTCCTTTGATCTTCTACTATTCTCCTTTCTCTCTCCATTCTTCCTCTCTTCCTTTCCTTGCCCTTTCTCCTGTCCCATATCTTCTTTGTCTCTTCTCCATTCTGTCTGTTCATTTTCTCTAGATTTCCTTACCCGCTCCCCAACCCCCTCTCACCCCCCCCCCCCCCCATTTTTTTCTCTGGTTCATCTACATATTTTGTTGCCCCATAACTATCTTTTCCTAGTATTTGTGTCCACTACACTTGAAATTGTGTGAGGGGAGTAGGTGGGATTTCAGCACCAGGCTGTTTTTTTTCTTTGATGTATCTTGTCTCCCTTCCTGCCCCTCCCTCTTAATCTGTGTTTGTCACTGCCTTCCTTACCCACCTCTCTCTCTCTTGCTTTATGTCTGTTTGCCTCCCTTCATCACTTCCTCTTTGTATACCTCCCTCCCATTCTCCTGCTCTGCCTTTTTTCTCTTTCTTTGGTTCTCTCCCTCTGTCTGCTTGCCTCTCTGTGCTGTCCCTTTGTCTCTCTCTCTTTTATGTCTACATCTCTCTCTGCTTGCATCTGCTTCTCTCCCTGTCCGTTCTCTCTCCCCCTGTCTCCCTTCTTTCAACTCTTTGTCATATTTTCCTCCTTCCATATCTCTGTTTCGTTCCCTTTTTCCTTCTCTTTTCATCTGCCCATCTCTGTATCTGCATTCCCTCTTTCTGTATTTGTCTCCCTCTCTGTCTTTCGCTGTCCCTTCCCCACTTTTCCTCATCATGTCTCCATCCCTCCCTCTCATTTCTCCCCCTTCCCCAGACTTCTTTTCCTTCTTTTCTCTACCTTCATCTGTCCATCTTTAGACTGTCTCTCCCAGCCTACCTCAGCATGTGTCTTCCTCCCTCTCTGCATGACTCTCTCTCTCTCTCCCCCTAACCCTTTCAGGTACCAGATCCAGAACAGACAGGACTTAGTTTGCTGCCCTCTACCACCAAGCCCTAAAAAAAAATTTCAAACACTATATCAAGCTCAGGGGCCGACCAACACGAAGATGGGCACAGGATATAAGTGACTCCTTGAGTATAAACAAGTACATGAGACGGGAGAGCTGGTGAGAGACCGAGGTTTTTTTGTCAGGACAAAGGAAATGCTACATGATGATGATATATGTGCTGGTATACCAACACATGTGGCACAAATGAAGTACATTGTGTGCTCAGTACACCCTTGAACAAGGCAAAAATCTTGTTTCAGTATTACACCGAGACAACCTTGAAAAAAACTAAGGAGACCTTGAAAAGTCTTGAAATTGATTGGTAAATTTGGCTATGAACCCTGCAATGAACCAGATCTTTAAAATGGATATGCATGCAGAACTCAAGATCTGGATGAAAGCCAAAGTCCAGGAGTGGACACAACGAGAACTTTCCGCCCAGAATTTACAGCCGGTATACGCTAAGAAGACAAAGATCAATTTGTCTCAGTATGTGTCATATTTAGCAGTGTATTTTCTTCATCTGATTGATTGAAATAATCAAGAACAACATTTTAGTAATACTATTATACAACAGTGAATGTTGCAAAATTACAGCGAGAATTATACATAAACTTGAGACTTTTCCAAATAAATGTTTAGGGAAGGATTGGATTGGATTTTTTACCCCACCAGGACATCACACAAGCGATAAACACCCGATGACACAAAGCGCCACCATGCGGATGAGGATCACCGTGGAGAGGTCCCAGAAACCGCGTTCAGACATTTGGCCATAATGATGACCTGCCTATATTGCGGCCCCTGGCAAAAGCCAGAGTGGGGCTTCAAATAACAAAAAATTACGTCCTAAGAAGGACGTAATGATTGAATTATTATGTTTAGGGAAAATTCTATGAATATTTTGGCCAAACAAGATCACAGATGAAGAATTGAGGAAGAAAACAGAATGTGCATCACTGGCAAATGTTATAAAAGTAAGACGAGCGAGATGGCTTGGACATGTTTGCAGATTACCTTGTGAGACTGGCAAAAACAACTCTCCGGTGGAGTGCAGATGGGAAAAAGAGATGTGGACGACCTAAGGAAACCTTTAGAAGGGCAATAGAACGGGAAATGAAGGAATGTAAACTGACATGGGATACAATGGGCAGGAAAGTAGCAGACCGGCAGCAGTGAAGATCACTTGTGAGTGCCTTATGTGTAAACGGCGACATGAAGATATAGAGAGATAGATTGAAATTTGGTCAGTTCTTTCCCAAAAGCTACACATTACCGATTCTATCATATAATTTAAGTGTCTCTATTTTGCCCTTTTAAGTTCCTATGTTATTTCATTTTTAACTTATGCCAGTAAAAGTTTGAGAGACCATGAAATTTAAACGCATTTGAAAACAAATGCCCAAAGAAAACGCATCTCAGGCGAAAACAAATGCCTGAGGAAAATGTTGAGCATAAAATGGGATGAAATCAAGAGGGGTAGAGATGTAAGAGAAATGTTGGGCAACTACAGGTAACAAGAGTTATAAGACAGAGAAGTAGATAGCTCTATATTGGACACATCCTGAGAAGAAAAAAGCAGAAAATCACCAGACAGGCACTAAAATGGGAAATAAAGGGATTGAGAAGGCCAGATCATCCAGACTGGGTTTACCTTGCAGAAAATTCTGGTTGTTCATCCACTTCTGTCTGTGGTTAGGCGTTGCTAATGCGCTTCGTGGTGCCGGGTTCGATCCCAGCTGCGGGCCTTGTATTGGTTTCAACAGTGGTATTGAGAAGTTGACTGTTCAGAAAGCAAGGCAAACTACTGGACGGAAATTTGCCTAGAAAACCACAACAGCCAAAAAATGCTGGGGTTGGTTCAGCAATGTCCTGTAAAGGATACTCAACTAACTTAACATCCACTTCTGGACTTTGTTCCAAAATTTGAGTTTTGCATGCACATCTGTTTTATATATCTGGATTCTTTTAATGCATGCTGTTGGTTCCTTACCTGTCATGCAGATTGGCTTAGAAGAGAGTACCCCTAATTAGTTGCCTTTTATGACATGCTTGTTGGAGGGGCAGTGGGTCTGTTTTTTCCTCTTTCGCTCCTATCCCGCGTGGGTACCGGAGCCCACATGGGGACCTCAACTCTTTCGGTTCCAAAAGATTTGGTTTTAAATACTCAAGATGCTAAAGACACATTGAAAAATGCAAGGAGACAGTATGTACTGTATTGTATGTTAGCATATCTAGCCAGATTTCTTTAGCATGCTCAACCCAAAAGTAAAATATATAATTACACAATGTTCGTTGTTTGATACGCAGTGATTATAGCTGATCACACACTGTACTTTGGGACAGAAGGAGTTAGAAAAAAAAGCTTGCAATAATTGTTAGTCACTTTATGAGAAGAGACATTCTGGAGTCTTGTGACAATTGAAAATATGAATGGAGAGAACGAGAAAGGAAAACAGTGAATTGAGACTTCTGATAGCCTTTTGTCATGTTTGACCTGGGAAGGTATCAGAAAACAAACTGGTACTTTGTTTTGGAGATCACAAGATGTAGGGCATTATTGCATGTGTACTAATTGACAGAGCACTTCATGATTATAGCATATTTCTTCTGTACTAGTAACATAGTACAGGATTATATAGGCTAATGAGTGGAGTAGTAGTTACAATACAGGATCATGTAGGCTAATGGGTGGAGTAGAAATAACAAAGTACAGGATTATGTAGGCTAATGGGTGGAGTAGTAGGAATATAGTACAGGATTATGTAGGTTAATGGGTGAAGTAGTAGTAACATAGTACAGGATTATATAGGTTAATGGTTGAAGTCGCTTGGGACTACATTGTCTCTGACTGACTTAAAAGATGCTAAGTTTCAAAGTTTTAAGGAGCATTTTATAAATTACTGCGACAGGTAGTGGTAAACTGATGCATGCTAAACCAGATGCGGTCAGTGCTCTTTGGGATTGAGTGAACAGTGCAGAAGCATAGTTATATCATGGTCTGAAAAGTATTGTCCAATGAGGAGTAACCAGGGAATCTGGCCAGCACTCAAAAGAAATTAAAGGCAAGACAGACACACAATCAGACTTCTACGATTGCCATTGGAATTGGAACTCTGCGCTGGCAGCTATAGATGAGAACAGACTGCTTATAATGCTGTAATGTCATAGAACCATACATCCTGTTCTGCTGTATGGCAGTGAATCTTTGAATGTCAGTGAACAAATTAAGAAGAATTTGGAAGCAACAGAGATGTGGTTTCTGAGTCGAATGTTACGAATACCTCGGATGGCCAGAGTAACTAACAACGATTGCTTAAAAAAAAGGTAATAAAAGTAGATCTCTATATGCAGCAATAAGATAGAGACAAACACTGTTCTTTAGCCACATAATGAGAAGAGAGACATTGAAGAACATCGTGACAACTGGAAATATCAGTGGAAAAAGGGGTGGAGGCAGACCAAGAGGGATGATGCTGGATGGGCTGAAACGATGGCATGGAGGGATATCATCAAGAGAGCTGTTCCAGGCAACCAGCAATCTTGATCTGTGGAGATGTATGAGCGCCTACGCCAGTTGGCATTGCCCATGATGATGATGTGATGTCAGTTCTTAACTTGACTGTGACACTCTCGCTGAGTTAACAACCAGTGCTGAAAGAGACAGCTATTTTGTTAAAACTAAATGCAGTTAAGTTTGTCTATTTGCCTTTAAACTTTTCGAACTTTATCGGTCCTTTTCAGGTAATGACATGTGTTGTACAGAGATTGATCAGAAATGGAGTCTTATACAACAGGGAGGCAACCAAACTGTCCAAATTCTTGCTCTTAAAAGCTAGAGATGAGTTTAGACAGAATCCTCCACAGAACCTGCAGGTCAGTTAGCCTTTAATTGTGGTTCTGCCTATGACCTGTCTGTGATGTAAATCTTATAACTGGCAGAGAATATAAAAATCACATTAGAAAAAGCAGTATTTAGCAGGTTGGGAATATAAAATACCTGAATTAAGAGGAATAAGCACTGTGTAGCAGTTTGAGAATGTAAATAACCTGATTCAAGAGGAATAAGCACTGTACGTAGCAGTTTGAGAATTTAAAATTCATGATTCAAGAGGAATAAGCACTGTGTAGCAGTTTGAGAATGTAAATAACCTGATTCAAGAGGAATAAGCACTGTACATAGCAGTTTGAGAATTTAAAATTCCTGATTCAAGAGAAATAAGCACTGTACATATAAGTTTGAGAATGTAAAATCCCTGATTCAAGAGAAATAAGCACTGTACGTAGCAGTTTGAGAATGTAAAATCCCTGATTCAAGAGAAATAAGCACTGTACATAGCAGTTTGAGAATGTAAAATCCCTGACCGAAGAGAAATAAGCACTGTACATAGCAGTTTGAGAATTTAAAATCCCTGATTCAAGAGAAATAAGCACTGTACATAGCAGTTTGAGAATTTAAAATCCCTGACCGAAGAGAAATAAGCACTGTACATAGCAGTTTGAGAATTTAAAATCCCTGACCGAAGAGAAATAAGCACTGCACATTGCAGGTTGAGAATGCAAAATCTTTAAAAAAAATGAGCACAATATATAGAAGGATGAGAATCTAACATCTATTACTTTAGAGAAATAAGCTTGATCTATGGGATATTGGAAATCTAAAATATTTGACCCCAGAGAAATAAGCAAATTTTTATAAAGGTCGAACATTTTGCAAAGCATGTTTGCTCAGTGACTCAGTGAGCATGTTCAGAAGATCTAGGCTGTACAGTCAAGCAGACCTGATTAGAAGAACTCACCAGGGCCCAAAAAACAGTTCTTCTTATCAGAAATTTCTCTTTCTCAGCCTAATGGTAATGCATTTAAAACATACAGTACAGTAATGAATTAGCGTAGAGTATGACAGATTTATGGGAGTCGCTGTGGCAGAGCGACTAAACGCTTGCGTGCGGATCAGACAGTCGTGGGTTGGCTCCCTGGCGGAGCTCGACTTTTTTCAAAAATGATCTTGGCTCCCAGATTGACCCAGCCTTGAGTGGGTACCGGGTGCATTACCGAAAAGTAAAGGCAGCCGGCGTGATGCTGACCACATCACCCATCTTGTGTCGATTGGTCTATAAAATATAGGTCTAGTCCTATATGCCCTATACGCCTAAAGGCATGGAAAAGGGTCCTTTGCTTTACTTTTATGATAGATGTATGATAAAGACAGTCCTTACCCACAGAGGACTGAAGGTGACACTTGGCTGTTGTAACCATTACAGGTGGCCTAATTGTAACTTCTTGGGAGGTTGAACAGGGTATCGTGGTGGTGAACTGGTGTATGACAAACTAGATATTGTGAGGGCCTTTTGGGAACGAGTGAATAGTGCAGAGGCGCAGATAAATCATTATGGTCTAAGGAGAATGACGCTGCGAGGAGTTACCAGGGGATTTGCCCTACGCTCAACACTCAGGGAAAGGATGAAACAGATATACAATCAGACTGTTACTGTTACCATCAGAGTCCTCTTATAGTTCAAAGGAACAGAAAATGATGACTGTTTTACTTAATAATTTTATTTGAAAATCTGCACATCCACAGCAAGCTCACTATGGGAACATTGAAGCCGACTTTGCTATGGCTATCAGTTTGTACCATGGCTTCGAACTGTTGCAGCTGCATGGCCTGCGATCTCTGTACAACTACTTGACAGGCATCATTGTTGGAGAGAAAGGATACGGCCGCACACGGTCAGAGCTACTGAGAAATGCAGACTTCAATGACATTATGGAGAACTTGAGACAGAAGTTCACTGGAGCAAGTTCTCATGGGTTTGTTAAATATGGTTTCTTTCTTGATTTGTTGAGTCAAGAATGGCATCATGTAATTCAGGAAATTCCATACACACACCGTCCTCATCTTCAGCATTCAGAGTTTGAGTTCTGATGGTACCAGTAACAGTTTGGTTGTATGTCCATCTTGTCTTTCCTCTGAGTGCAGAGTACTAGTCAGATTCTCTGGCTACTCCCCATTGCAGCATTATCTCCACACTGTAAAGATCTGTGAACACTTCCACGTTGTTCACTTGCTGCCACAGGCTTTGATCACATGTAGCATGTCATGCCTGTAGTCACCATCCAGTGATGCAGCACTTGCCAGTCTGTCTGCCTGTTAATGTCTCAGCACACCTGCTTGACTTGAAAAAATATCCAGAGGACGCTAACTACCAGTGAAGCAGTGTCTGTCAGTCTGAAAGGTCCATACCTTTCCCAGCATGTTTTTTAAGTCTTTTTCAGTCACATTTGTTGCAGTGGATTCTCAAGACAACGAAAAGCTGCTGTGACTACCTCTATCTTCATTGTCAGACTAGATCCTTGGCTTTTTAGTACTTGATTTGTTTGTAATGGTGTAAACATCATCAAGAAAGAAATGGCAAACTACTGACATAAATTGTCAAGTAAAAGTTCACAAACATCCAATTATTGCTGGGGTTGGTTTGAAAATATCTTGATAACAATACAAATGTGACTGTGTTTAACCTAGAGTGACCTCTAGTCTTTCTTTTTTTCCCCCTCATCTCTTCCTCCATTACCTCAGTGAAATGTTTATCAAGGGGTGGGGGGATGGGAGGGAAGTGTGTGAGAATCACTGTGAATTCTTTTGTTTACACTGTAAGTCGGTCTTCATTTCTGTCAGGTTTTTTTCATGTTGTCGCTCCATCTCTGAAAAAAGGGACCTTTACATTACTTTCTTTACGGGCATATGAAAAAAGTCATTTATATTATAAAATTTGAACATGGGACCACCTATTACATGTTGTAAACGGCAACCAATCAGGAATGTTTCCTTAAAGGTCAGAGTGCATCTGCCTGAGCGGCAAGGAGTCAACAATCTGCATACAGATAAGCCAGATCTGTAAAATGGATGCACATGCAAAATTCAGGTCCTGGAAAAAAAGCAAAAGTGAAATGGATGAAAAACCAGAACTTTCTACCGGAGTGTGCAGCCGCTGTGCAATGAGCCCACCTCACTGTATTTTGTTTTTACTTTCTAGCTCATCATCCAGGTGGTGGGCCAGTGCGAATTTCACAAATCACAAACAAGGAAAAACACATTAAATGCATCAAATACTTTTATATTTTAAGGAAGCATATAATCTATGCTTAGATAATTTCAAACAGCTTCTGAAAATAATGTATAGAAGTGGTATTTTTGATTGGCTGTACAGAATAGCATCACAATAAAATTTTTTACAGTTGACCATCATCATCATTCAGCAGGTTCTTTACAGACCATTGCTCTTGTCACAGAATGCATGCTAGTCTCTCTTTCTCTAGCCGGTTCTCCAGCCCTATGTGCTTTCATAGCCAATGTGTCTTCAATATCTTGCATCAGCTTTCACAGGAGTCTACCTCTGCTTCGTTTTGTGGAAACTGTACCATCCATAACTATCCTCTCCAGGCCACCATGATGCTATACGTGGCCAAAATACCTCAGTCTTTTTAGACAGATGCTGTTTATGAGTCAATTCTCCTCAATGTTTGGATTATATGGGATGAAGAGTGTCATGATGTCAACATCAACTGACAATCTGCATGTGAACCCCCCCCATCCCCACCACCCCAAAACACTCATAAGCAAATGAACCTTAGATGGGATGACTTCAGGAAAGACCAAGAAATCAGAAAAGTGAACAGTGGCTGCTATCGAAAATAATAGGAGAAAGAAGATGGAACTATTCTGGGTGTATCCTGAGACATGGCAGACAAAGAATCAGAAAACAGGCACTGAAGTGGGAGACAAATGGATTTATGAAATAAGGACATCCGAGAGAAACCTTACAACAACGAGAGAAGCCAGAGATGCTGGACTGGTTTCTACACACAGTCAAAGCATTGCACCGGATAAAACTGAATGGAGGAATCGACTGCAAGTCTTATGGGATGTATAAACTGATTATTTAAAAAACAAAAAAAGTTATAGTGATAAGACAAAGTGTTTTCACACTGATGATACCAAGTTAAACTGTAATCTTTTCTAGGGTTTCATCAGAATCTGGAGATGGTAAAGTTGTGGTTGGCCATCCTAAGATGCAGAGGCTGGAAGAAATAGTTGTGGACCATTTCAAAACATTTGAGAAGAGTAAGTTTTGTATGTTTCATTTATATCTGGTTTGGTTAAAAGGCACCTTCTTATATCTCTCCCCATTAATTCAGTGAGGTAACTGAAGAAAGAGGAATAAGACTTGGTCAGCGTTTTAATATTGAGCCTGAACTCCCATCCATGAAGCAAAGTGGTTCATTCAAACAAGCAACATTCATCTGTGATCTGATAAAATGGTAAAGCTGCCCGGTCAGCAGACAACAAGTAACCCTCCAATGAGTTTATCATTAGAAGCAGAAATTGGATGTCCTTATTTGGCATTATCTTTAACCATTTCCGTGCTAGTTTTGAACCGTGAATTATACCTGAATATCTGCAGGAGGTAAAATTGTTCCCATAAACTTTTCTCATCAATTCAGTTGTCTGAGTAGCATGTTTTTCAAGTTTAAAATGTAATTGAATGTTCACTCTTTGCTCCATGCTGCACGTGAAACAAAGCAACTCTCATAGTTGAACAAATTAGTGGGTTTATGTTTATTCAACGGATCAACATCATGGCACACGGGTGTAACCCATAAAGGCTCCGTTCTACTTCTAACTCAAGCCTGAGTGTGAAGAATCTCAGTGCAGTGCACACACTCCTTTGCACCGGCGAGGATCCCGAAATGCTGGTGGGTTATTTGTCATCTGCTTCTTGGGTGGTGTTTTTGTCTTGGCCATAATAAAATCAGTCTAATTTTTGAATCGCCAGACTGTGTATGTGTCAATGTTTTAATGTTGAACCATACTGGTTATGAGAAAATTATCAAATCTCTGTTCTGCTGGAGATTGAATTCCTGATCACTGTTGGCAAGTGGGTATGAGCCACAACTCTGCCAAAGCTCATAATTGTTAGTAAACTGTTGATGTTATATTTGAGTGAGTGAGTGAGTAAGTGAGTGAGTGAGTGAGTGAGTGAGTGAGTGAGTGAGTGAGTGAGTGAGTGAGTGAGTGAGTGAGTGAGTGAGTGAGTGAGTGAGTGAGTGACATTCAGCCCCACCAGAACTGCACAATGAGCAATCAACACCTTGTGACACAAATCAACACCTTGTGGCACAAATCAACACCTTGTGACACAAATCAACACCTCGTGACACAAATCAGCACCTTGTGTCACAAATAAACACCTTGTGACACAAATCAGCACCTTGTGACACAAATCAGCTTCTTGTGACACAAATCAGCACCTTGTGACACAAAGTGCCACCTTTCAGATGAGAATTGCCTGGGCGCAAGTCCCAGAAACCCTGTTCAACCTGTAGGCTATTTTTGGGACCCAGATGACAGCCGGGGTGGGGCTTTAAATAAAAAAAAAATAATAATAAAAAAAAAAAATATATATATATATATATATATATATATATATATATATATATATATATATATATATATATATATATATATATATATATATATATATATATATATATATATATATATATATATATATATATATATATATATATATATATATATATATATATATATATATATATATATATATATATATATATATATATATAAATTGGCATGTATTTAAGCGGATTAGTAACATCACAAAAAATGGAAGAGATTACGAAATGTTCAAGGAAATGAAGTTATTGACAAGAAATTTTCAACCTCAGTTAAATGTTATTTGTGACAGGTTGGGAAATACTTTAACAGAATCTAGACAAATTCTAGGAAGATGGCAGGAATACTGCAGCGGAATGTATGATATGAATGACAGTGAGGATATGAATGATATACATGAACCAGTAACAGTAGAGGCAGAACCTGAACCTTCATTAGATGAAATTTCATGGGCAATAAGGAGCCTGAAAAATGGTAAATCACCTGGATGTGATGAGATACCAGCTGAATTGATTAAAGCGGGAGGAGAAGAAAGCATAAAAATCTATCATGCATTATGTGAAAAGATATGGAAATATGGTATTTGGCCAAAAGACTGGAAGAGAACTATCTTCATTCCAATACCAAAAAAGGGTGACCTGAAATTATGTACAAACTATCGAACTATTGCCCTGATCAGTCATGCAAGTAAAATTCTACTAAAAATTATAATGAGAAGACTGCAAAAGAAAATGGAAGAAGAGATTAATGTAGCTCAGGCTGGATTTAGACAGGGAAGAGGAACAAGAGATCATATATTCAACATGCGTTTAATAATAGAGAAGTGTAGAGAATTTAATGTAAATCTGTTCTTATGTTTTGTGGATTATTCAAAAGCATTTGACTGTGTGCAACATCAGAAGCTTTGGGAAATCATGAGGAATATGGGCTTTCCATCACATATAGTGCAGCTCATTAAAATGCTCTATCAAGACCAACAAGCAGCAGTCAGAATAGATGGAGAGACATCAGACTGGTTTGGCATCAAGCAAGGAGTCCGTCAGGGATGTGTGCTGTCACCGTATTTGTTCAACCTGTACGCCGAAAATATAATGAGAAATGTAAGAGATGATATAAACAAGGAACAATATGATGCCCTAAACATCGGTGGTCATGAAATACCAGAAATTCGTTATGCTGATGATACAGTATTACTATCAACATCACAAAATGGTTTAGAAAACTTATTAACCTCACTCCAAAGAAATAGTGAAAATCATAACTTATTTCTTAACACAGCAAAAACAAAGATAATGCATACAAACAAAACTGCCATGGAGAAGGAAATATATGTTAATGAAGAAAGATTGGAAGTGGTGGAAAATTTCGAATATCTTGGGTCACTGGTTACCAACAATCGTGACACAATGAAAGAAATTAAACGGCGACTATCAATTGCTCTTCAAAGACTAAAACAACTGAATAAATTATGGAATTGTACAGATAGAATTACAAAGGTCAGATTTTTAAGAGCATGCATCTTTCCCATTGCAACATACGCCTGTGAGACCTGGACACTTACTAAACAAGCGGAACAGCGCATAAATGCATTTGAATATAAATGTTACAGACAGGTTCTAAGAATATCTTGGGTAAAGAAAAGAACAAATGCATCCATACTTCAAGAGCTGAATATTGAAGAGGGTTGGCTAGTAAAGACAATAAAACAAAGAAAATTGAAATATTTTGGTCACTTGAAACGTCATGGAGGTCTAGAGAGAACAATAATGGAGGGGTATATGCCTGGGAAGAGAGGAAGAGGAAGGCCAAGGAGAAGATGGGTGCAGGATGTGGCAGATGATCTCCAGATGGGTGTATCAGACGCAGGACATCTTGCTCATGATAGGAAGGTTTTCCGGAGGGTTGTTATGGCAGCGAGGTTCCGCGAGGGACATGCTACTGAATGAATGAATGAAGTAACATTCTATTTCCAGATGGGTATCTCATCATAAGATGAAAATAACAACATATTTTGGTTTACAACATGATCATAGTTGTTAGCTGATTATAATGCACAGAATCCCAAAGAGGTCGGTAGTAGCTTGACGTGCAGTTAGGATTGGTTGAGGGAAGAAAGGTAGAAAAGGGGGAGGGGGGGGGGGGGGGGGGTGTGTGATGGTTAAATAAAAATAAGAAATCAAATAAGCATTTAGAAAACATTTTGAAAAACGTGCACCTGTTTCATTGGTTCTATAACAGAGTTAAACTTATCATGACTACTCAATTATTTATGTCTATCACTGCATCTTCCTGTTTATTTGATGTTAGAAGGTAGCTTTTAGGGAAAAAAAGGGGGGGGGGGGGAAACAGGGGTTTGAGAAAGAGACAGTAGGTCAAAGAAGTTAAAAAAGTGTGTCCTCTAATATGTTGGTTATTTCTCATTGATTGCAGAAGGGGACGCGACCAGAGTGATGATATTCAGCCAGTACCGTGACAGTGTTCAAGAGATTGCTTCAATATTGAACCAGCACCAGCCGTTGATCAAAGTTATGCCTTTCATTGGCCAGTCGTCTGCTGGGAAAACTACAAAGGGCTACACACAGAAAGAGCAACTCATGGTAATCGGCTAAGGACATGGACATGTATAATGTGCTTCTTGAGATGCACTAAGACTTACAGTTTTATCCTCCATAATAATATTTGAGACAGCAGACTTGAGTTGAGTCAAGAATTGATATCACAGCAGTCGGGGCATTCCCATGCATGCTTCATCCTCATCTTCAGCAGCCAACGCAGTGTTCCAATACTGATAGTATCGGTCACAATCTGATTATATATTTGTCATGCCTTTCCTCTGAGTGTAGTGAGCCGGCCAGACCCTGTGGTTACACCCAGGTGTCTCATTCTCTCCAGGCAATAATAATCTTGTTTCTCTACTGATTCTATTGCTTGTTCCCAAAGGGCCTTGACCACATCTGCCTTGTCATGTATCAGTTCACCACCCAGTGGTGCAGATCCAGCCAGTATGTCTGCCTGTTCATTACCCACTATGCCGGCATGGCCTGGAGAAAAGAAAAAAGTATGCTCACTACCCGAGACCTTCCCAGTGAAGCTTGCCACTCTGCTCTAAGCATCCCTGTAGTGGACAAGATTTTATGATGACAATTGCCCCCCCCCCCCCCCTTCTTTTGTGTGGGTGGTGTAGGCAGGTGGGGGTCTTTGAGCTTCAGGGCCCAATGTTGCATGACTAGTGCTGTCACCTGTGCAGCTTAGGAATTTATTGTTGCCCCTCATAGAAAAACCCCCAACCTAACTGACTATTCGAACATGGTGCGACATTGTTCTCTCAGTGTGCTCTGGCTGTTTCCTAGGGGATTGTACTATGGCTGACGCACATGATGAATTGACGCACACAGATGTTATTGAGGAGACACAATCACAGTTTATATCTTTATTACTCACAGAAGACAATCCGGTCCAGTTACAGTCAGCTATTCTCTAGCATGTCTAAATATTCAACTAGTAACAATGACAAAGCTCCTCACCACTATTCACAATCATTCCCGTTCGCTACCTTTGCAATCTTCACGTCTCAATCGCGCCACAAGAACAGGTCTCAGACAAGTATCTCCGGCCGCTGGCTGTTTGGCTCCACCATCAGGCTAGTTGTCGACTTGACTGGATTCTGGCTGGGCAGTCATCTTGTCGAATTCAATCTTCTCCATGCTGTTCAGCTATAGCATGTTGCATTCACACAAAACACAGCCTCTCACTCTGGCTGTGAATCACATACTAACTGATTAGACCCTGGTCTAAACTTATAACCCTCGTTCTGGGTTTCACGCGCTGGTTTGAGCCCGGCTGGTATATCTTGTAAGTAAGTAAAGGACCCTTACCATGCCTTTAGGCATATAGGGCTAGACCTATATTTTTCAAGACCAATCGGCACAAGATGGGTGATGTGGTCAGCATCATGCCGGCCGCCCTTATTTCCTGAGACTGCACCCGGTACCCACTCAAGGCTGGGTCCACCTAGGAGCCAAGGTAATTTTTGAAAAAAGTCCGGCTCCCTCGGTATATCTTGTGTTTCTACGAATATTCACATTCTCATGTATTTCTTTCTTACCTCAGTGTTTACTTACTTACTTACTTACTTAGTCGCTCCTCTTCTACCTTGGGGTGTAGAGGTTTGCCAGAGAGATCGCCAGACGTCTCTATCAGCAGTTTTCTTTCTGGCTTTGTTCCATTCCAGTCCTCTGTCAGTCAGGGACTGTCGGATGTTGTCTTCCCAGCGCACCCTGGGTCGTCCCGGAGGTCTGGTTCCCTGGTTCTTAGCCTCCCATGCTTGCCATGGTGGCAGATTTTCTCCCATTCTGCACACATGTCCAAACCATCGTAACTGTGACTGATCCACTCGGGTTAGTAAGGGCTGGGTATCAAGATCTTGACGTATTGTCTGATTGCGGACTTTGTCCCTTCTTGTCACTTGGACCACCTTTCTCAGGTATCTCATTTCCGAGGCCTGCAGCTGGCTTCTGTGAGCTGTTGTCATTGCCCATGACTCACACCTATAGGTCAGGACTGGTACATAGGTAGAGCGGTAAACAGCCATTTTCGTCCTCTTGCCAATTTCTCTTTTGCTAAGAAACCCTCGGTTTATGGCCTGGAAGAGTCTCCCAGCAGCTGCTTTTCGTGTAGCCAGCTCAGTCTTAATGCCTCCATTTTGGTCTAATACAACTCCAAGTTATTTGAACTGGTTAACCTGCTCCAACGCATACTGTCCCATCATGATCTGGTGTTTCTTCTCCTCTCTTGAGATCACAAGGGTTTTAGTTTTGGAGACACTGATGGTCATCCCTTTCTTTTCAAGCTCTTCCTTCCAGACAAGTAAGTTGGACTGAAGGTGTGCCTCTGATTTAGCTATCAGGGCCACATCGTCCGCAAAAGCCAGCTCTGATATACAGATTGGTCTCATCTTCCAGTACCCTACAGAGTACTTCTTTGTCTTCTCCTTACAGGTCTTGATGACATCATCCATCATAAGAATGAAGAGGTAAGGTGAGAGAATATCACCTTGTCTAATACCGCTGGTGGTCTTAAATTCTTCTGACTTTTGGTCTGCTGTTCTTACATAATTTCTGCACTTTTTGTAGAAACTCTGTATTGCACTGATCAGGGGTGCTGGGATGTTTTTCCCTGCCAACCAGTCCCAGAGCTTGTTCCAGGGTACCTTGTCAAATGCCTTTTCCAGATCCAAAAAACATAAATGCATCTCACTCTTATATTCCAGGGCTTTTTCACTCATCTGTCTCAGTGTGAAGATAAGGTCTTGAGTACTTCGGTTTGCTCGGAAGCCGCATTGGGCCTCGTTCAGCTGTGGCTCTACCAGACTTCTAAGTCTCTGCTCAAGAATTCTAGAGTAACTTTTACCGGGAACGCTGAGGAGGGATTTGCCTCTGTGGTTTTCACATTGTCTGTTATCACCTTTTTTAAATATAGGTATAGTTTTGCTACACCAGGCTGCCTGGAGAACCTTCAGTAGGAGGCGCTCACCTTCGACTCCCATATATTTGACCATCTCTGGTGTTATACCATCATGACCTGCTGCTTTTCCCAGCTTAATCTTCTCAATAGCTGCCTTCAATTCTTCCATCCTGATGTTATCTTCCCCATGATTGAATTCCTTCTCAGCAGTGAGGTCAATTATTTCTGGGTCTTGACTTACCTCAATGCCGAGGAGCTCTGAGAAGTATTCTTTCCATCTGCCCATGATATCATTTGTAGAAGTAAGCAGAGCCCCTTCCTTGTCTTTTATGAATTTAAGTGGGCACTCTTTCTCCTTCCTCATGTTCTTAAGGGTCTTGTAGAACAGTTTTTGGTTTTCTCTTGCATTCTTTTCCAACTTTTCTCCAAACTTCCCATGATTTCTGTGTTGCTTTAAGCACAATATTTTTGGTCTCTGTTCTGAGTGCCACATATTGTTTATATTTTTCTATTTCTTCAGCTATGTTCCTGGCTGCCAGGTATTGCTTCCATGCCCTTTTCTTTTCTCCCATTTTCAATTTGACTTCTTCTGTCCACCAAGGTGTCCTGTGTCCCCACCTTCCACTTGGGACTTCACCACATGCTTCTACTGCAGCTGCTGTGAGGATATTCTTGAATCTGCACCAGAGGGTTTCAGTGTCCTCTGATGATTCTTCTTCAGTTTCTATTGCTTTCACTATAAGCTCCTGGTATCTAGCCTTAATATCTGGCTCTCTTAACTTGTATGCTTTAATCCTCATCCCTTCTTGGTTGCTTGGTTTCTTGCATGGTTGTCGGTGTTGCCTTGTTGGAGCAGTTCTTTCAGTTGTTCTCTTTATTGTGACCAGATAGTGGTCACTTCCAAACTCTGGTCCTCTCATGACTCTGGCATCTCTCACAAACTTAAATGAACTTTTTCTAACTATGGCGTAGTCAATGATGGATTTTTAATTCTTTGAAGGTTCACATCTTGTGTATGCATGTATACGCTTGTGGGGGAATTTTGTGTTTGTAATGACAAGGTTCTGTTCCCTGCAGAATCTGAGAAGTCGCTTGCCATTATCATTCAAAACATCTTCACCATATCTCCCGATCACTCCATCCCATCTAGAGTGATCATTTCCTACTCTGGAATTTAGATCTCCTAGGAGGATAATTTCATCGTGACAGTCATCTATGGTCCTCAGTGTTTACTCCCATATTATTGTTTAGAGAATTCCCTTGAGAAAATACCAACATTACACATGGGTCTCTTAAATATGAGTCTGGCATCATATGCTCAATGCATCGCTGGTGTGTAAAGGGTCCATTTGGTTGTTTATCACATCACACTGATGTTATGCCATGTGTGTCACACGCCATGTAAAGTTTCAAGTATTGTGCTTGGGGAAAAGGTTACACTCTCTTTCTATTTTAATTTTTTTTCTTTCTCTGGCTGTCTATCCCTCTTTCTCTGTGTCCATATATATGTAGATGTACACACACAGAAATAATTAAAATAACATTCAAGGTTCTTTTTCATGCCTTCAGGCATATTGAGTATATAGTGCTAGACTTATATTTTATAGACCAATCGGCACTCGATTGATGACATGGTCAACATCATGTCACCCGCCTTTACTTCCCAGGATTTTACCTGGTACCCATTCGACCTGGGGGCCAAAGTCATTTAAATAAATCTTTTTTAAAAGTCTGGCACTGTTTGGATTTGAACCCACAGTCTGCGAATGCATAGCGGATCTGGCCGCTACACCACAGTGGCTGCTGTATATGGATGTATATAGATGTGATTAAAAATTTACAGGTGATGCAGCAGTTTAGAGAAGGGGGTTACAATACACTTGTATCTACCTGTGTTGGAGAGGAAGGTCTGGATATTGGAGATGTTGATCTAATTGTTTGTTTTGATGCCCACAAGAGCCCCATCCGCCTGGTACAGCGGATGGGCAGGACGGGAAGGAAGCGCCAGGGAAGGATTGTCATGCTAGTGACTGAAGGAAAGGAAGAACAGGTTAGTAAAGTCTCAACAGTTTTTTTAAATTTTTTTATTGAGAACTTTTTATTTGCATATCTTCTTTTCTTTTCATTCTTCTTCTTCTTCTTTCGTTCGCTTGAAATAGATTATCTATATCTGCAATGTTGTCTCTAGTATGAACTTCACTGTCTTTTGTAATTTACTCAGCAACCCGTAAAGTTTGACTTGCACCGATGTTTCTCTTGGCCAAAAGTTTTGCCTTGATGTATTGTATTTGGTAACGAACGAACAAACTTTATTTTCAAAGGATTACAGTTTACTATAACAGTGAACAAGGCAGTAAACTGAGAGATTTTAGGACAATGAAGAAGAGTGACCAACAGTGAACAAGGCAGTAAACTGAGAGATTTTAGGACAATGAAGAAGAGTGACTTACAACAAGGCAGTAAACTGAGAGATTTTAGGACAATGAAGAAGAGTGACTTACAACAAGGCAGTAAACTGAGAGATTTTAGGACAATGAAGAAGGGTGACCAACAGTGAACAAGGCAGTAAACTGAGAGATTTTAGGACAATGAAGAAGAGTGACTTACAACAAGGCAGTAAACTGAGAGATTTTAGGACTATGAAGAAGAGTGACTTACAGCAAGACAGTAAACTGAGACATTTTAGGACAATGAAGAAGAGTGACCAGCAGTGAACAAGGCAGTAAACTGAAAGATTTTAGGACAATGAAGAAGAGTGACCAACAACAAGGCAGTAAACTGAAATTAATGCAAATTTGACAATGTGTGTTTTTGTTTGTTCACTGAAAAGGTAGGTTTCTGGGAACATTGTGTCATTTATCTTAAAGAGGTTGAGGCCAAATGAGTTTAAGAATCACTGGTCTAGAATATGATAAGGACTAACACCACATAATCTATTGCAAAATATATATAATGTAGGGAACTTGCCTACCGACCAGAAGATCTTTATTTCAAATTTGTGTTGTGGCAGTTAAAAAAATAAATAATTGATCTTATCTGTCAGCCCAGCCCAGCCTAAAATGAGTATCAGGATTATGACCTGGGAAGTAAAGGCAGTCGGTGTGAAGTTGGCCACATCACTCATCAGCTGTCGTATGAAAATATGGACCCAGCACCATATGCCTGATGCATCAGTGGCATTTTTGATGGTTCTTTATCTTTGGTTACTAGTACCGGCTCACCACACTCAGAGGAAAGGCAAGACAGACTTTTAACCAGATTGTGACTGGTACCCTCAGTATTAGAACCCTGCATTGGCTGCTGAAGATGAGGACGGGGCATGCATGGGAATGCCCCGAGTGCTGGGATGTCAATTCTTAATTCAACTCAACTGCTTACTAATACTAAACTAAACATTGTTAATTCTAATGTCAAATCAGTACTGTTGTACGGAGCAGAAACATGGAGAACAACTGAGGCAAATAATAATAAACTACATACACTCTTTAGCTGGTGCCTGCATAGAAGAGAGGGAATTAAATAGTATGATAGAAATACTAATGTAGAGCTCTGGGAGAGAACAAGTTCCAGTGGACCAAGAGGTGAAGAAAAGATGATGGGGTTGGATAGGTCACACATTGAGAAAACCTGAGAACAGTATAACTAGAATGTCTTTGCACTAGAACCCACATGGGGCATAAAATAAAGGAAGACCAAAAAACACACGGAAAAGACAGAGCGAAGTTAAAAAGATGGGGAGGGCATGGGTAGAGCTGCATGCGATAATGAAGGATAGAACGACTTATCGTCCATTGGGGGTTAGAAAGGCAGAAGAAGACTCTGTTTACATAAATAGAACATTTATATTTACAAACACTTCTATTTTCTGTGGTGGAATGGCTAGACGCTCGCCGCGGATCGGAAGGTGGTGGGTTCACTCCCTTTCAGAGCTGGGCTTTTTGAAAAAAATGACCTTGGCTCCCAGGTCGACCAAGCCTTAAGTAGCTACCGGGTGCAGTCCCAGAAAGTAAAGGTGTCCGGCATGATGCTGACCACATCACCCATCTTGTGCCGATTGGTCTGTAAAAATATAGGTCTAGCCCTATATGCCCTATATGATAAAGGGCCCTTTACTTTATATATTTCCAGATAAATTTAATATTTGCATCTGTGGGTTACTGATGTGATTTTGTTTAGAACCTATACACCATTAGAGATAAAAGGCAGCAGAAGGAAAGGGAAATATAAATATGACATCATGTATAAATATAACATCTGCATATTTACAGATTTACAACCAAAGTTTGTATTCGAAGAAAACTATCCACAAAGCTATCCTGAATGCGGCAAAGTCACTGCATTTCTACCCAGACAATCCAAGAATGCTTCCATCATCTGTGACACCGCAGTGTCATAAAATGCACATAACACTGGCTGCTGAAATTAAGAAAACAAAGACTCCGGGTAAGAATAAGAGATTACTGAGCAGCAAGAACAAGACAGTACTCATCAACAAGAACAAGACAATTTCTGATGTATTTAGCAAACAAGGTAACAGTGGACACATCTTTTAGATTTGTTCTTGAAATAATTTGTTATACTAAATTTTAAAAAAAAACTTTAATTATATTTAAAATATTTCTTACAACGCGCCTTTATGTGGCTAGAGTAGCTGTAAATGTTCTTTTGCCAGTTTCCTCTGTATACCTTTCTGGATCCAGATTTGTGGCTTTAACAGTCATGAAAACAAAACAGCGCTGCCAGCTTGACGTGGAGATTGATCTCAGTTGTGTATTATCCAACATCAACCAAAGATAGCAAATTTCATCCGGACAAAACAGTGTCAACCATCACAGTTATATTTGGGCACTAAATACCAGTTGTTGGTGATAATTTATTTCTTTTATGTTATTTCACACTTTCATTTACGTGGATGTTTTTATCTAAGTTCATATTATTAGAGCTTTGAATTTGTCTATTTGTTCTGTGGTTTTGATCACAATTTTTTTGGGAGGGGGGGGGGGGGGTTGGTCCTGCCATATATTCAATTGGGGTGCCACCTTAATGAAGGTTGAAAACTGGTTTGGGAAATCGATTACAGCTGGCCTTCACATTAGGGTATAATGTCACCTTAATTATTACTGAAGTTCATTTGTTCATTTTAAATGTTGATTTAATAGTTAAGAAAGATAAATGAAGCAGAGTTTGAAGTTGCCATTTTGTTGGCTTTCTTTCAGTGAAAAGAGTGTTTGAGGATGAATGTCTGACAGCAGAAGAGTATGATGACATCAAGAAAGAGTTTTCTGAGCTGCAGTCAGCGGGAAAACAGTTGTCTAAACCCAGATGTGTCATGTTGGAATCTGGTATACAGGTTTGTTCACTGAATTGGTTGTGTCTTCTTCTTCTGCCTTTTATTCCCCAATGAAGCATAGGCCCCACCAGCTCAAGCCAAGTTGTTCTATCCTTTACTGTTGCATGCAGCTAACCCCCATATCCTCCCATCTTTTTAACCTTCTGTGTGTATTTTTGGTCTGCCCTAATTTCTGTGCCCCTGTGGGTCCAGTGCAAATAAATTCTAGTTATATTCTCAGATTTTCTCAACGTATGTGCTATGCAAGACTAGCGTCTTTTCTTCACCTCTAGGGTGAACGAGGCAGTAAACTGAGAGATTTTAGGACAATGAAGAAGAGTGACCAGCAGTGAACAAGGCAGTAAACTGAGAGATTTTAGGACAATGAAGAAGAGTGACTTACAACAAAGCAGTAAACTGAGAGATTTTAGGACAATGAAGAAGAGTGACCAACAGTGAACAAGGCAGTAAACTGAGAGATTTTAGGACAATGAAGAAGAGTGACTCACAACAAGGCAGTAAACTGAGAGTTTTTAGGACAATGAAGAAGAGTGACCAACAGTGAACAAGGCAGTAAACTGAGAGATTTTAGGACAATAAAAAAGAGTGACCAACAATAAGACAGTAAACTGAGAGATTTTAGGACTATGAAGAAGAGTGACCAACAGTGAACAAGGCAGTAAACTGAGTGGTTTTAGGACAATGAAAAAGAGTGACCAACAACAAGACAGTAAACTGAGAGATTTTAGGACAATGAAGAAGAGTGACCAACAACAAGACAGTAAACTGAGAGATTTTAGGACAATGAAGAAGAGGGACCAACAACAAAGCAGTAAACTGAGAGATTTTAGGACAATGAAGAAGAGGGACCAACAGTGAACAAGGCAGTAAACTGAGAGATTTTAGGACTATGAAGAAGAGGGACCAACAGTGAACAAGGCAGTAAACTGAGAGATTTTAGGACAATGAAGAAGAGTGACCAGCAGTGAACAAGGCAGTAAACTGAGAGAATTTAGGACAATGAAGAAGAGTGACTTACAACAAGGCAGTAAACTGAGAGATTTTAGGACAATGAAGGAGAGTGACTTACAACAAGGCAGTAAACTGAGTGGTTTTAGAACAATGAAAAGACAGTAAACTGAGATTTTAGGATGTAACAAGTTTCTCCTGTCTAGGGCACACAGTAACATATGATGGCAGAAGTGAAACAGAACTTAAAAAGAAGCTACGAATGGCTAAAGCTGTCTTCAGTAAGATGTGCAAATTACTGACATCTAGAGAGATATGCATCACACTAAAATTGAGACCAGTCAAATGCTATGTATACTCAGCCATGCTGTATGGTGCAGAATCCGGGACAGTGAACAAGCAACTAGAAAATCGAATTGAGTCTAGGAATGTGGATATACAGAAGAATAGATAATTTTTCAGGTAAACAAAAAGTCTATTAAAGAGGTTCTGGAAATACTGCAAACAAAAAGAATTACTGGAAGAAATAAACAGGGGCATTTGAAATACTTTGACCGCATTAAAAACATTAAACACTTTTAAAAACCATACTAAAGGGAAAAGTCGAAGGCAAGAGAGCAAATGTAAGCAGTGATACAAGTGGGAGGACAACATCAAGAGAGGAACGAACAGCTATCTGAGAGAGTTTACAATCAGGACAAGAGTCAGAGCATGTTGGAGATCCATTGCAGCCAAACTTGACTTTTGTAACAACACCTGATTGATGATGATTAACTTCCTGGGTAGTCTCGTGGGATAGAGACATGTGGCCTTATTTTGTGTGGTGTTCTCTTTGTTCCCTTGGAGAACCAGTCCAGGGCAACCGAGTGTAGACTGGTTCAGCCTTCAGGGGAAAGCAGGGGCAGATCATGGGCATTCCCCACCATCCAAGGAGGCACTAACGTAATTTTATCTTTAAAACGTCAAAGAAACATATAGTGCAATGTTTAGTACTGAAAGAGTTTCTGCTCACAGAAAACCAAATTAGGTTTATGTTTTTTTAAAACTGTAATTTCATTTGACGGCCAGAGTAACTAACGATTGCTTGAAAGAAGCTAATGAAAGTAGATCTCTATATACAACAATAAGAAAGAGACAAACACTGTTCTTTGGCCACATAATAAGAAGAAAGACATTGGAGAACATCGTGACAACTAGAAAGATCAGTGGAAAAAGGGTTTAACCAAGAGAGATGATGATGGATGGGCTGAAACGATGGCTTGGAGGGATATCATCAAGAGAGCTGTTTCAGACAACCAGGGATCGCGATCTGTGGAGACACATGAGCGCCAACCCTAGTTGGCAGGGCACATGATGATGATGACTTTCATTTGGTTTTATTTTCTTTCTTTTTTTTTAAATTTCAGAATGACTTTATGGAGACTAACAGTTCTCGCTTGATTGACTTTTCTGAGTGGATGCCCTGGCAGAATCGACTGCAGACAACCCACATGATAGGTCACTCTGTGCAAACAGTCAACCTTGTGAAGACATCTGAGTTTATGGAACTTCAACGTACGTAATTCTACTTCCTATATTTTAAGTTTCTTATATTTTATTACCTCTGTAGTTTGTATTTTTCATCCCTCTGTGTCTATCTATCTCTCATTTACACAGTGTGGCCATATTTAACCCTCTCTGTCTCTCCCTCTCTCACTGTTGCTGTGTATAATCTTCTATATATGTGTATTTTGCAGTCAGTCTCTCTCTCTTTTCTCTCTCACTGTTGCTCTGTTTAACCCTTTGCTTGTCTATGTTTGTGTCTGTCTTTCTTTCTTACTTGGGCCTTGTAAAAATATCTGTATGTTTTTCACCGTGGCTCTGTATAACCCTCTCTCGGTTGCTCTCTCTCTATTTCTTTAGTCTCTCTCTTTCTCACTATTGCTCTGGATAACCCCCTCTCTAGGCAAACAGTTAAACTAATTAAGATCTCATCGTTTATGAAACTAAATGTAGATAATAATGTTCCCTATGTTTTCAGTTGCTTGCGTTTTATTCCGTCTGTTCTTTTCTTTGTATTTTCACCTTCAGCCCTCTTTCTGTCTTCCTGTGACTCAGTAACTCTTTCTTTCTTTCTTTCTTTCTTTCTTTCTTTCTTTCTTTCTTTCTTTCTTTCTTTCTTTCTTTCTTTCTTTCTTTCTTTCTTTCTTTCTTTCTTTCTTTCTTTCTTTCTTTCTTTCTTTCTTTCTTTCTTTCTTTCTTTCTTTCTTTCTTTCTTCTTCTTTCTTCTTTCTTTCTTTCTTTTCTTTCTTTCTTTCTTTCTTTTTTCTTTCTTTCTTTCTTTCTTTCTTTCTTTCTTTTCTTTCTTTCTTTCTTTCTTCTTTCTTTCTTTCTTTCTTTTTTTTATTTCTTCTTTCTTTCTTTTTTTTTCTTTCTTTTTTTTCTTTCTTTTCTTTCTTTCTTTTCTTTCTTTCCATTCTGTTCATGCTTTCTGTCTCTTTCTAATCTCTGAATTACTGTCTGTATAACTCTCTCTCTATCCCTCTTTCTGTTTCAGTTGTCTCTGTATCTCTGTCCATTTCAGTCTCAGTTTCTCTTTGTCTCTATTTGTCCCATCTTCCTTCTTTGCTTTGTTTCCTTTTCCACTCTGCCTTTTCCCTCTGTCTCACTTCCTTTCTTATTCCTCTTCACACTCTCTCTCTCATCAGTTGCCTTCTCACTCTCTCCCTCCTTTTTTCTTGCCACCTTACTCTACCCTTCTCTCCTTTTTCCTTCTTTATATTCTTTCCTATCTTCTCTTCATTCCTTTCTTTCTCACCTCTCTCTCTTGTTTCTTTCCTTCCTGGTCTGTCAATCCTTCCTCTTACTGATTTATTTACAATTTAAAAAAAAATAGAATATAAGTGTTTCCTTCTCCAATTTCATTTCTATGTATTAGATATTATTTAATAACACACATTAACAACAATTTGTACACAGACATATCTCTTTGTTTCACAGGTTGTATTGAGACATATATATATCTCTTTGTTTCACAGGTTGTATTGAGACATATATATATATCTTTGTTTCACAGGTTGTATTGAGACATATATATATATCTTTGTTTCACAGGTTGTATTGAGACATATATATATCTCTTTGTTTCACAGGTTGTATTGAGACATATATATATCTCTTTGTTTCACAGGTTGTATTGAGACATATATATATCTCTTTGTTTCACAGGTTGTATTGAGACATATATATATATCTTTGTTTCACAGGTTGTATTGAGACATATATATATATCTTTGTTTCACAGGTTGTATTGAGACATATATATATCTCTTTGTTTCACAGGTTGTATTGAGACATATATATATCTCTTTGTTTCACAGGTTGTATTGAGACATATATATATATCTCTTTGTTTCACAGGTTGTATTGAGACATATATATATCTCTTTGTTTCACAGGTTGTATTGAGACATATATATATCTCTTTGTTTTACAGGTTGTACTGAGACATATATATATCTCTTTGTTTCACAGGTTGTATTGAGACATATTTTTATCTCTTTGTTTTACAGGTTGTATTGAGACATATATATATCTCTTTGTTTCACAGGTTGTATTGAGACATATATATATCTCTTTGTTTTACAGGTTGTACTGAGACATATATATATCTCTTTGTTTCACAGGTTGTATTGAGACATATATATATATCTCTTTGTTTCACAGGTTGTATTGAGACATATATATATCTCTTTGTTTCACAGGTTGTATTGAGACATATATATATATCTTTGTTTCACAGGTTGTATTGAGACATATATATATCTCTTTGTTTCACAGGTTGTATTGAGACATATATATATCTCTTTGTTTCACAGGTTGTATTGAGACATATATATATCTTTGTTTCACAGGTTGTATTGAGACATATATATATCTCTTTGTTTCACAGGTTGTATTGAGACATATATATATCTCTTTGTTTTACAGGTTGTACTGAGACATATATATATCTCTTTGTTTCACAGGTTGTATTGAGACATATATATATCTCTTTGTTTTACAGGTTGTATTGAGACATATATATATCTCTTTGTTTCACAGGTTGTATTGAGACATATATATATCTCTTTGTTTCACAGGTTGTATTGAGACATATATATATCTCTTTGTTTCACAGGTTGTATTGAGACATATATATATCTCTTTGTTTCACAGGTTGTATTGAGACATATATATATCTCTTTGTTTCACAGGTTGTATTGAGACATATATATATCTCTCTTTGTTTCACAGGTTGTATTGAGACATATATATATATATATCTCTTTGTTTCACAGGTTGTATTGAGACATATTTATATCTCTTCGTTTCACAGGTTATATTAAGACATATTTATATCTCTTTGTTTCACAGGTTGTATTGAGACATATATATATCTCTTTGTTTCACAGGTTGTATTGAGACATATATATATCTCTTTGTTTCACAGGTTGTATTGAGACATATATATATATCTCTTTGTTTCACAGGTTGTATTGAGACATATATATATATATCTCTTTGTTTCACAGGTTGTATTGAGACATATTTATATCTCTTTGTTTCACAGGTTATATTAAGACATATTTATATCTCTTTGTTTCACAGGTTGTATTGAGACATATATATATCTCTTTGTTTCACAGGTTGTATTGAGACATATATATATATATCTCTTTGTTTCACAGGTTGTATTGAGACATATTTATATATCTCTTTGTTTCACAGGTTGTATTGAGACATATATATATATCTTTGTTTCACAGGTTGTATTGAGACATATATATATATCTTTGTTTCACAGGTTGTATTGAGACATATATATATATATCTCTTTGTTTCACAGGTTGTATTGAGACATATATATATATATATCTTTGTTTCACAGGTTGTATTGAGACATATATATATATCTTTGTTTCACAGGTTGTATTGAGATATATATATATATATCTCTTTGTTTCACAGGTTGTATTGAGACATATATATATATCTTTGTTTCACAGGTTGTATTGAGACATATATATATCTCTTTGTTTCACAGGTTGTATTGGCGATGACGAAGACCATTATGGTTTGGAAATGAACCGATGGCTCAAGGATAACGCCACAGAATCTCGAATACAGTATTCTGAAGGACAAAGCAGCATGCATTCTTTCTTGACCAATACTCAAGATAAGTCAAACACATTTAGGAAAGATAAGCTACACCAAGACGGTAGATGGAAAAAGAAGAAGAAATTGGATACAGAGCAGAGAGTAGCTAATTCAGTTACAGATGCTATTCTTGTTGAAAGTGACTCCAGCATGGATGGAGGACACGAAAGGACCTCAGCAACCGAACATGTGAAGCCAAAAGTATCTAAACTGTTCACAGAACTTGGCAGCTCAAATGACACATCAAATTTGCAAAGTTCTAATGGCAGTAAAAACAAAAGCAATAGAAGAAGGAAAGCTGGATCCAATAAAATAAAGAGATTAGGTACTAAATCAGCAGTTCAGAAGAAAGTTGAACCTGTTAAGAAGAAAAAGCTTTCCGGAATTTATCATGCCATGACAGCTAAAATAAGGAAAACATCATTTCTGAAACTCTTAGAGACCAGTTCTTGTGACATCCCAAGCACAAAAGACAGTGATGATTTTGAAGTTGACCGCTTCAGAGACAGAAGAAGCTGGCAGGACACAGATAATGAGAAAATAGCTTGCTCAGACAGTAAAGCACACAAAGACAGTGAAGCACATGAAGACAGTAAAGCACACAAAGACAGTGAAGCACATGAAGACAGTAAAGCACACGAAGACAGTGAAACACACAAAGACAATGTTGTAGACAATAATAATGTAACTCTTAATACTCATGTTGAATTGGATGTTAGTATGAGTGATGATCTAGAAAAAGGGTACCCGATTCCACATGCCATTGAGAAAAATGGTAAGGTAGAGGTGGAAGAAATGTCAGAGTTTCCAACAGACATGAGTTCAGGCTCACAAACTTGCACAGACTCCTTAGCAAGAGTAACATTCTCTATCCCAAAGCCTCCACCTGTCTCTGGGGTGAAGGAGATGTTTCAAAGTTTAAAATCTGGAAAGGAGTTTAGAGAGTTAGATCTTGAAGAACTAATGGAGCAGTGGAATGAATTTGGAAGAGATGTGTGTAGCATGACAGCAAGCCTGCAAAATGTGTTTATGTCAGTAGAGAAAAGGTCAGGGTTACAGTCTGTAACTACAAGCCATAATGCACGTAAGCCAGATTTATCACTGTGTCCTGGCGGCCATTTTGAGGCAGTGAGTCCAAAAATGAAGAAGAAGAATCATGTGACTCCTAAAACAAATGTGGCTAAACTATTCATACAAGAAAAACAGTTGGTAGATAGTACTATTTCTGACACCTGCAATTCAGCAGATAATATTGCTGAAGAAAACTTATCAAAGAGTCCGGTATTCAAGCATTTGGTAAACAAAACTGTGCACACTGGTAAATCTGCACTTGATAAGCAGTCTCACTTCTCTGAAAAATGGTTTGCATCAGAAGACAAGCAGCAGACTGATTTCTGCAAAGCAGAAGCAAAAACTCCCAGGTTTAATGAAGTTTTATTCAAGACTTCTGCACAGGAGACCAAGACTGCCATCAAATCTGGAGTAAAGAGTTGGATGCAAGAAACTGATGCTGTGCAGCATGTTTCATCTTCCAAAGATGTCATGAATACTGACATTTTCGAGAAAGTCATAGATAAGGACATACCTAAAGAAATCATGAAGACTGACATTTTCAATAAAGATAATTGTGACATTTTGATGACATCTTTAGTGGATGGAGAAGAAATAGGCATGAACTCCTGCAAGAATACTCCAGTGAGTCCAGTCAGCTTGCATGAGAGTTTTGTAACATTCACCCAAGCTATGGAGTGTCTTCAGACCAGTTCTGAGGAGAATCTCTCTACTCCACCACCATGCAAAAGTTCTACCAGAAGCATGGTTTTCTCAGAGCAGCCCAATTTTCATAAAAATATACTTTCATCTGGCAATACAAAGTCCAAAATAGAATCTGCTGACAGTGGCCATCACAATTTGAGAACCTGTGATCAGTATAATGAACATGCACCTCAGAAGTTTGTTGATACAGCTGTACCTTGTACCACTTCATTTTCTATAAATAGTTCAACAGGGTTTTCAGTAAATGCCACTGAAGCTTCAGTACAGGATTCTCTTGTCCGGAATCTTCAGTCTGATAATGATTCTGAAAGGATTGGGCTGAAGTCAAAGAATCAGTCATCCAGTCACTTGACTGAGACTCCTGTAGGTGGATGCAGCAGCAACAGTAAGCCTGACCTTCCACAGTTTGACTTAGGCTTTGACTTTGATGATGATGATGATATTATCCCACCAACCCCAACCAAATATCTATCTCAGGATTCTGTATTTGGCCTCAAAACTTTTACCATTGATAAGCCTTTATTACAAGAAAGTAGAATGCTTTCATCAAGTGACACTGATCAAGCTGCAGGTTCAGTTAGAAGACTCACTAGGGATCTACCAGTTGCCAGTCCACCTGCTTCAGCATTGTCTAATGGCACAGGTGATTTTGAGCCTTTTTTGAGTACTTTTGACTTACAGCTGTCATCTGATGATAGTCAGGAGCTACCTAGAAAAATATTTACAAAAGACACTACATCCAATCCTGAAGCAGATATAGGTAAGGAGCAGAGAGTACAGCATTCAAGTAATCAATGGGAACCGGGCAGTGACGGATTTCATCAGAATAATATGATGATTTCATCTGAAGATGAAGGAAGCTTTCATATTCTACCTTTGGTTGCAGAGAGAGAAGATAATAAAGTCACTTCATTGAAGTTAAGTTTGCCCTTTCCACCAAAGAAAAAGAAACTTCCACTAGATGAGCTTGGCAGTGCGTATGAAACAGAACAGATGACTGTTGTAGGTGATTTTACTAGTTCTTCTGAAGACAGGCCATATTCTGACAAAACACGTCCAAGGAATTCTACAATGTCGAAAGCAAGGCTGTTTAGACTGGGCAAAAGACATATTCAAGAGGCTGTTTGTGCTAATACTGTTGTCAGTGGTAATAAAGAAGAAGAATTACAAAAGCCTGAAAATCTGGAGACTACCCTACAAGCACCTTATAATTTAAATAACTTCGATGAAATAGATGACTATAATGAAGACATTTTTAAGAACTCTGATTTTGATCAGATGGAGACAGTAGCAGTATCACGGTCCAACAATCCAATCAGTCCTGCACCTGCCTGCCAGACACCAGAAACAACTGCTGTTTTGTCTCATGTCCAGGAAAGCCCTGAAGTCCATGAGAAGTCTGCTCATCAGTTGTTTGTTACAGCCAGCACACCTATACGGGATACAGCTAAATGTCCTGCTATACATTCTGCTATTGATGATACCAAAGAAATAAATATGTTTGAACTGACACCAATTAGAGCCAAGATTGATGAAAGTAAGGTTGTGCTTGTGACATGCTGTTATTCATTGTCATTTGTGGAAAGTTTTTAAAATTCAATGTATATCTTTCTCATTAATTCTTTTGCCCCAAAGATGCAGCTAATATGGCATCACTGTCAGTTACATTTCTTCAGGAAAGCTGCTAAACCAGCATTGCTTCATTAGCCTGTCGCTGACAAAACTCGTTAACAGCATTGATTCTGTTTTCAACTGTGATGTGTTTAAGACGGGTTATGATTATATTCACTAAAACAGCATTTGGGAGGGGTTTTATTGTTAAAAAAAATTGCTTTTTATAAAGCCATTGTGGCGTCAAGATTTTTTTTTAGCTGCCACATAGCAACGAGTTATGGTATACAGGATCCTTTAAATTTTTCACTCCATTTATGTTTACTGATTACTCCCTATCATATATTTCTTTAATTTTCTTTCACTAATATACATAAATAAATTAAACAAAAAATGTCTTAGTGACCTGTGTGGCTTAAAAAAAATGTCCTGCAAATTCCTGGGTTAACCCCCCCCCCCCCCCCCCCTTTCCCCGCAAGTGTCTCAAGGGTAAGAGAGTTAAAACTGAGCTCTTTGAAGCAAGAAAAACATTTTACATCATTTAATCACTTGGGTTGGTTTGTGTATACCATCTGTCTAAGTTATACCATATTCTTTTTATGTCCATCTAAATCTGTATATTTAGTTCTCTGCATACCTAATGTTTCTCTTGTCCATCCCATCTTCTTTTCCCCAGTATTTTGCCTTGTGACCAGGCCAGGAGAGTTTTTGATTTTCATTATTTTTAGAAATTGTTTTTGTTTTACTATATGTTCCTGAATTGTTACATTCCTCTGAAGGTTTCGGACCCCAATTTGGGTTTAAAAAAGAGAACTGACCCATTCTTCTTTATTCCAACAAGCATGTCATAAAAGGTGATTAATTAGTGGTTTGCTGAAATTAGATGTTTTAGCCTGAAAGGCGCGGATATTGCAGCCTGGCTGTAAACCGCAACACAGCATGCAAACCACTCTTTTAAGGGCAATTGCAGAAGACAAATAGTCAGCAGGTCGACAAAATGCAGGCTGAGGATCACAGACAAAAGGAAGTCCAGCCCGTCTGGAATACTAGAACATTGTACGAAGTTGAATGTTCATCACTGGTAAATGTTTGTAAAATTCCTCATGACACTCAGGCAAGGACAGCTGTTAGTTGGATGACACTTTGGCAAGGACAGCTCTCAGTTGGATGACACTTCTGCAAGGACAGCTGTTAGTTGGATGACACTTTGGCAAGGACAGCTCTCAGTTGGATGACACTTCTGCAAGGACAGCTCTCAATTGGATGACCCTCCGGCAAGGACAGCTGTTAGTTGGATGACACTTTGGCAAGGACAGCTCTTAGTTGGGTGACACTTTGGCAAGGACAGCTCTCAGTGGGATGACACTTTTGGAAGGACATATCTCTCTTGGATGACACTTTGGCAAGGACAGCTCTCTGTTGGACAGCCGATGAAAAGAGATGTGGACAACTTAAGGAAACCTAGAGAGGAGCAGTAGAAACTGAAACTTAGGAATGTAAACTGACATAGGATACCATGGGCAGAAAAGCAGCTGATCCTCAGCAATGTGGATCAGTTGTGAATATGTCAGCAGTGATGTCAAGAGATCTTGGGTCAAGAAAAGAACAAATGCATCCATACTTCAAGAGCTGAATATTGAAGAGGGTTGGCTAGGAAAGACAATAAAACAAAGAAAAGTGAAATATTTTGGTCACTTGAAACGTCATGGAAGTCTAGAGAGAACAATAATGGAGGGGTATATGCCTGGGAAGAGAGGAAGAGGAAGGCCAAGGAGAAGATGGGTGCAGGATGTGGCAGATGATCTCCAGATGGGTGTATCAGACGCAGGACATCTTGCTCAGGATAGGAAGGTTTTCCGGAGGGTTGTTATGGCAGCGAGGTTCCGTGAGGGACATGCTACTGAATGAATGATGTCAAGAGACTCTACTGTTGATTCAGTGAAGCATGGGTAAATGGTCTGGATGGCACTAAACAAACTGGGGAAATTATAAGCATACTTTTAATTACATTGCTACTATCACAGATAGCATGGACAATCTTTATTGATTGCTAAAGGAAGGGACTGATCACATATGTGAATGTCCTGAATGCAATGATGTCAGTTCTGTAATCATTCAGTTACCTACTTAACCAGTAGTCCTGAGATAAGCTCCCACCTCCCCAATGTTGCAGTGTCTTTGGAATCAACCATAAAATATGTGCAGGATATTTGAGAAAATGAATTGACCAGTTTACAATGACCAGTGTGCGTTGCCATAGTAAAATATCATTTGATCAGTGTGTTTATATCTCACTGTATTCTCTGCAATAATAAATCCATTGCCAGTTTGCTATGCTTGTCACCAAGAGTTAAATGATGTAGAGCACAAGGTAGACTGAGAACAAGATGGACAAATAACATTAGAGAAACTCTACAGCTGCACGGTGTGTCTATGGTTGAGGTGGCTGAAGAGCAAGAAGCAGAATCTTTTGTGTCCCCTGACATCCGAAGTGGTAAAAGGGGAAATAAACAAGAAGTACTATGGCCAGCTTACTCTCCTTTGGCTATTCAGTTGACTAAAATTTGATCATGAAACATTTTTCCTACCTGCATTAAGAGTATGTGGTTACTTAACTTTTATTATAGTAAATAATTTTTATTTTATACATTCCAAGCTATAATATATTTTTTGTTGGCAGGTAAACTTGACTCTGATGCGGGCTTTGTTTTTCGGAGGAAAAAGCATATTAAGGCTCTAGATATTTCATCAGACGGAGGTATGGTCAATAGTGTGTTCGTTTCAGCTATTTGTTTATTTGGTCATATCTTCCCTTCTCCCTATTATTGTTGAAAGCATCGTAGGAAGCCCTTTTGCCAATTGTGACACTTAACGCATTCTGTTTTCATCCTTACATTTTAGCTTTTGAGCAACACTTTTAAAGGAGTCATGTAGGGACAGTGAAGTCCGATGAAGAGAGGGATGTTATGTTTGGCCAAGAACATTTGTCAACATTAACTTGGCTTGCCATTATGACAATGTACCTGGTCATAATTTGTATTTGTTTCAGATTTCATAGATGTTTTATTGCCTTTTTGCCTTATGTAAGCTAATTAGTTCTAGCAAATTTTTTTGTTTAAAAACGATGTCTATAGTATCTCAAGCTTTATTAAAATGTTTATTACATGTTTTTCTTTCTTCATTGATTGTATCATTGGTGGTTTCCTTGGCGAAGTAATCAAGCCACTTGACTTGTGCTTTGAAGGGGTTCATTTCACGAATAGAGTAAAGAATTAAATGGAATGCATTCCCTGGGTCTTAAAAAAGTATATGAATTGGCTAACTTGACTCATGCCATGACCTTTATCACTGAGGCTTGAAGGGAAATTTGACCTTAATGTGGCTTTTAGAAAGCTGTTTGGTTCACCCAGATGAGTATTTACAGTTTTTTTTGTTCATATTGTGACCTCCTAAACATTTTCTTCGGTATGAACACAACCAGTAGCATGAACTCTGCATCTTGTAAACACATCACTGTAGAAAAGATGGGTCAGTGGCTTTCTAAATGAATTGGATGCAGCCAGAAGTGTTAGTTTTGCGACTTCTTAGAGTGTCAGGGTTAAATGTTTTTTAATGTTTTAAGTAACAATTAGTTTTTTTCCTTTGTGTTTATTTAAAGATGCTAGGGAAGACACAACTTCTGTCAACATGAAAGTGATTAGTAAAGCTAGGATGCTGAGCTCAAAACAGGTTTGTACTGAACAGATTAAAGTTATAATTAGCTGCTAAGTGCTGTGTTAATCTTGTTTTGTTTTGTTTGTCAGCTTTTGAGCCAGTGTTTTGTTTTGTTTGTCAGCTGTTGAGCCAGTGTTTTGTTTTGTCTTGGATAAGTCAGCATCCTTTGGATATTTTCTGCAGGTTATGCAAGTGTGTTGGAAAATGAACAGGTTGGTAGACTGGCTGGTACAGCACCACTAGGTGGTAAATTGATGCATGAGAAGCTAGATGTTGTAAGGGCCATTTGCAAGCCAGGAAACAGTGCAGAGGCACAAGTGGATCATCTTAGTCTGATGTGAATGATGCAGCAAGGAGTGACCAGGGGACCTGGCCAATGTTGAACACTCGGGAGGGGCGAGACAGACATACAGTCAGACTGTTACTGGTACCCTCAGAATTGAATCTCTGCGCTTGCTGTTGAAGACGGGGGTAAAGCGCTTATGGGATTGTCCCAAGCCATATGATGTCAATTCCTAACTCATAACTGTTGAACCAGTCAAAATGTTTTGTTCCATGTGCTGGTTCAGACCTTGAAAGGAGGTTTTATTGAAAGTCACAGTTAATTTCGTAGTATCAGATGTGTTTCACTGGCTAATATAAGCCTGTATGGTTGTAAGGTTCTTGTTGGTATTATTGCATCATTTCAGAGGTCGCCACGTGGTGAGAGTCACATAGATATTTTACCTTGGTGTGTTTAGGAGGGCGCAGGCAGATGGGTTAGGGGATGTACTGCAACTGCATAAGGCAGAGGTGATCTTGAAATAATGATGCAGCATGGAGTTTCTGCTGGCTCTGGGCACCATTTGAACCCAGGACAAAAGGTAAGATGAGCGGAGAACCAGATTTGAGGTTTTGAACAACGGATCAACATCATGACACACTGGCAGTAACTCATAAGGGCTCTGTTCTTCTTCTAACTCAAGTCTGAGTCTGTAGAAGCTTAGCACACTGCACAGACTCTGTAGCACCGGCGAGGATCCTGAAATACTTTGAGTAGATTTTAAACTCCAAATTTTGCCCGGGCAGCGCCATTAGGTTACTCTTTTCGATTACCAACTGCCAGTGGATTTATTACATGTGCAACAATGAACACGGGCATCCAATCTCACTACCCAGAGACCAGGGGGAATTACTAGAAGCCCACGTGAAAAAATTCCAGTCCTTATTGGGGATTGAACCTGGAACGGTGGTGAACTAAATGACAGTTGGTACTATCAGAATGGAGATTCTTCACTGGCTATTGAGGAAGGAAATAAAGCTTATATGTACTTATAGGCACTCCTCCAAATAATGTCCCCATATCATCTAGGTCAAGAAGCTACCCTTACAGGGCCTCATTGATAAGTAAAATTAGGAATTATTTCTAGCAAATACGGCAGGTGGGCTATCAGCCCTGACACAGATTAGCAGTAATGTTTTACTGATTGATAAACTGCAGCTGAAGATGTTAGACCTACCGATTTATGTAAATTAATGACTAATAAACTACAGTGTTTACAGTGGCTTGCTACACACAGATTAATATGAACACAATAAAATGCAAGATATAACTGGTAACTGTTATTGGTAAATATGTCCATATTTATATTTTAGTTTCCAGTTTTTAATAGTTATATTAGATGCCCTGTTGAGGCCCTGTAAGGGTAAGTTTTTGAGCTAGATAATTTGGGGCCATTACTCGGAGGAGTGCCGACTTATATTTTATTAGACCAGTTGGGCACTTATTGGTGGTTATGTGGTCAACATTACGCAGGTTGCTTTGACTTTCCAGGAAAATTGCCTGGTCCCTGTCTTGTTTCCCCGGGAAAAAAGACCATGTCTTATATTAATGTTTGCTGAAAAAATGCACTGATAATTTTTTTCCCCCAGGGGATGCCCTGTTTTTATTTTTTTGTTTAGATAAATTATGCCAAAAAAATTTCAGATTAAAAAAAAAGTCAACATTTATTTGTGTACAAAATTCTACATTTATTCAGCTAGTCATCTTTTTGTTTTGTTTTTGGAACTATTCAAATCCCAAATTCAGGCCTGAATTTCTTATGACTCTATTTCCTGTAGAACTATTGGCCCCAATCTCATGTCCAGCAATAAAGCTTCACTTTTCTTGTCCATGCAGCCTGCTGACGATCTTAACTAGGGTCTGTTTTAAAGGTAGGGCTTATATTAAATATTTTTTGGGAAACAGTAGTTTAGTGGGTTTTTTTTCCAAGTCCACATGACATAGATTCAAACCCAAGACCTTCGACTGGCAGGCAAGCATTTAGCTGCTACACTTCTGTGGCTGACATGTTTCTGGGCAGTTAATACAAATTAAAGAATCGGAGCTACTAGAACAGTTAGCATCTATACCTTGAGACATGTGCTGTGGGAGACGAAGCATCTGTGGGTATGTCTTGTGTGCTATGATGTCAGCTGTTAATTCAGTAAAATCAGTCAAGATTGTATTCTGTGAAAAATATGTTGCTGAATTGTTTGTTTCAGACTGAAGCATGCAAAACCAAACCAGTTAATAAAAGCTTATTGAAGTCCATCTCTGACAGTTTTGGTGTTGATGATGATGATGATATGGATGATTTTAAAGGTGAGGAGGTGTTTTAACTTCAAAAATAATTTATAAATATAAATAATAGTGCATGGAAATGAAATATTTGAGAAAAAGCAGAAGAGATAAAAACAGGAATGAAGTAAAAAGAAAAAAATCAGTACAGAAGCAGTATTAAATTATATTGAAAGACACTGTTTGCCCACATAGAGAGAATACCTTGTGAACCAACAATGGAAACAACATTTATTTTCAAAGGGTCACAAATTGGGCACCCTGGCCCGTTGTGAGCAAGAAGTAGAACCTCATCTCTTTTGACACCTGAAGTAGTAAAAGAGGAAGTGAGGAAGAAGATGCACATTGTCATCTGTAGCTGTGCTAAGATGCATCAACTAATAAATAAAATAAAATAAATCTGTTTTATTTCATATTCCTGACCACTGGAAAGATCTGTGAAAGGAGGGACAGAGGAAGACAATGAGAGAAGATTCTTGACAGTCTTGTTGCATGACATGGAGGTGTGTCAGCACACAAACTAATACGTGCTGCAGGAGATCACAGATTGCGGAGAGGCATGATTGCCCACGCATGTTGGCAAGGCACCTGATGATGATGATTCCTTTTTCTCAGTGTTCACCAGCTGTAAACTTTGGTAGAAGGTTGTGGTTGCTCGTCCACTTCTGGACTGTTCTCATTCCAAAACTTGAGTTTAGCATGCACATCCATTTTAAAAATCTGGCTTATTCATATGCAGCAGAAGGTTGGTTCCTCACCTCCGAGGTAGAGGCACTACGACTTTGAAAGAAACACCCCTAATTAGCAGACTCTTACAACATGCTTGGTAGGGGGCAGTGAAACTATTCTTTTATTCCCCCCCCCACCCTCCGTATTGGAGCCCTAGAACCCACACAGGTATTTAGGTATATAAATAGACATGGTGCACTCCTGTTGACAGAAGAAACATATAAATAATTGATCAGTCAACTGCCGTCTTCAACAACTAAATGGATTTCCAACACACTCTGCATCCGATGTGTCCAGAGTATGTGGAATGTCTACATTGATGCTGACAACCACCTGCTTCTGAGAATTAACTCTTTTAGCCTCTAGGAACACATCATACCTTCATAGATTCCTACCTAGAAGCCCAATGAACATACGATGCGCTGATTAAACTTTTCTTTGTACCACCCCTTGGGCCTCTGATGCTGAACTCCCCTGGGACTGAAAGAGTTAATATCTTTCAAAATATCTACATCACAAGGGATGCAGAGGTGCTGAACCACATGTGCTTGTGCCCCAAGACCAGATCTCGTATTTGTCCACACGTATCAAAACCTCTTCATGGTCATCCTAGAAACAGGTTCTCAGCCGGAGGTCTGGCCAACTTATGAAGAATTGACGTTTTTTTCAAAGTTGGAAAAGACTTTAGACCAAACGAAAAATAGAAGCAGTCAGCTTCACATGATCGCAAACACAAATAACAAGTGAACGTTGCAGCTTGGGAGCCTTTATCGGCACATTATGTGTATATACAATACGATTATGTGAATATATAGTATCATGATGTGAATATACAATACCATTACATAAATATATACTGTACTATTACGTGAACCAGTCCTTAAAAAGAGAATAGGGGCTTTTTAGCTGAAATGCTATAGAAAGATTCTCAGAATATCTTGGACAAAGAAGATGAGAAATATTGACATCTTAAAAGATCTGAACATCAAGGAAGATTGGCTAATAAACAGCATCCTTTCTCGAAAGCTGAAATATTTTGGTCATATCAAGCGCCACGACGGATTGGAAAAAATTATAGCAGAAGGCATGGTACCAGGAAGGAGGGGCAGAGGCCGACCGACACGAAGATGGGCACATGATATAAGTGACTCCTTGAGTGTGAAAGTTCATGAGGCGGGAGAACTGGCAAGAGACCGAGTTTCTTACAGGCAGACTGTGATGAGAGCGACGTTCTGCAAAGGACCTGCTACATGATGATGATGATTACATGAACATACAATACCATTATGTGAATATACAGTACCATTATGTGAATAGACAATACCATAACGAGAATATACAATACCATTACTTGAATATTTAATACCATTAGGTGAATATATACAATACCGTTATGTGAACATACAATACCATCACTTAAATATACAATACCGTTATGTGAACATACAATACCATCACTTGAATATACAATACCGTTATGTGAACATACAATACCTTCACTTGAATATACAATACCGTTATGTGAACATACAATACCATCACTTGAAAATACAATACCGTTAAGTGAATAGACAATACCGTTACATGAATATACAATGCCACAAATATGAACAAGAATACACAAAAGCTGAAGTATCTCAGAGAGAAGTCACACATCTGTCTTACCAACTGAATCTCTGGAATCTCTTAATCTCGGTTTGAATCACGAGAATAAGCAAAATACTTAGCTGAAGTATCTCAGAGAGAATCACATATCTGTCTGGCCAGTTGAATCAATGAAATCTCTTAATCTCCTTTTGAATCTCTTTAACATTTGAACACATCTGCCTGAGAGGCAGGTAACCAACAGTGAGCACACAAATAAGCCATATCTGTAAAACTGATATGCATGCAAAACTTGACATGAAAACCTTAAAATTGTGTAGATAACAGAATGCTGCTTCTCTTTGGTGCATATCAGAAGTTGGGTGGCCATCTTTAAACTGTTATAATGATATCACTGTGTTGTTTGCCCCGTTATATTGCATGCTTAACACTCTTGACACCCTTAACAATAATATTGACAGGTTTCAAGACAGAGGCATGGCTATTTTAATTTGTATCACTTTTTAATGTTTTAATTTAAGCCCCCTTATAACTTATCACTAGTGTACATGTGTTTTCTTCATCTTATTTGTTTTTGTAGGATCCACTTGATTATATACAATGAAATAAACCAGTTAATAATTGTGCAATCTGTTGTTTGTATCTTCTTTGTTCAAAGTTAACTCTTTCCACTCCGTTAAATTATTATTCCTTTTTGTTTCAGACAACCATAGAGTCACAAAGAAACCAGAACAAAGTCCTCAAAAGAAAAAAATTAAGAAGGCAAAACTGGTAACTTAAAAAAAAAATAGAAATATTTATTTAAATCTAAGTTAGGTTAAATTAAATCTATAATTTGAATGTCGTTTCTTAAGGAAGAAGAAATAGGTGTATTAAAAAAAAATATGAAATGCTGAAGAAAGATTTTCAGAATACCTTTGACAGAGAAGAAAAGAAATACTGAGATCCTAGAATATCTAAAGATCAAGGAAGATTAGTTAGTAAACAACATCTTGTCTGGAAAACTGAAATAATTTGGCTAGAACAAATGCCACAGCAGATTGAGAAAAAATAATAGCAGAAGGCATGGTACTAGGAAAGAGGGGCGTAAGGGTTGAGCTGCATGAAGACAGGCATAGGATATAAGTGACACGAGGAAAGTGCATGAAGAGGGGGGAGACTGAGTTTCTTTTAGGCAAACTGATATGTAGACATTCTGAAAGAAACCTGCTGGTGATTAAGTTAATGTTTATTCATGTGGTCCTTTTTTTTACTCTTCTGTGTGTGGTCTGTCGTGTTGTCAGTGTTTATATCTTATCTCTAAATAATTAGCTTTCTTGATAAACTTAAGCGGCACATCTTTTGTGTGTGGTCTGTCATGTTGTCAGTGTTTATATCTTATCTTTAAATAATTAGCTTTCTTGATAAACCTAAGCAGCACATCTTCTGTTTCTTTTGGGAGTATCCACGGCTAAGCGGACAAGCTGTTTGTCCGGCGATCTAAAGGTTGTAGATTCATGAGTATCATTTTAGTGTAGATTGCTTGGGATTGTTACTGGAGTTACAGAATTTGTGTTTTGTGTGAGGCTGTCAGCAAATGGCTAGCCATTATCCTGAGAGAAAGAGAGAGAGAGAGAGAGAGAGAGAGGGGGGGGAGGGGTGGCTGCAAAAAACCAGGTGCAAGGAAGAGTCATCTCAACTTTAAAGTTGTACCTTTTTTTTTTTTTTTTTTTTTAATATTTCCATGTCTAATATTAATTTTCTCTGTTATAATGTATCAGACTCTATATATACATGGCTCGTATTCTCAAGTTCTTTTTTGAGCATTGATTAATACATTTTCATTCTGTTTAGGTGGCTTCACGGATACCCAATATAGCTATATTCAAACTTTCAAATCTTTCTATTACATTAAAAAAGATGCAGTAATTTTGATTACAGTGATGAGGGAAATTTAAGTTTTAATTTGTGCGGTACATAAGGGGATACGCTATACCTTATTTTGGATGCCTCCATTCTCTGTGATGGTTTTACCGACCCTCCTGCAAGACTTCTGCTACATGTCTAATGTCAGGCATCCTGGATAATGGTTAATGTTGGCCTAAAAATAAACAGCAGGGGTTCTCAAAGCTGATAGCCCCCAGAGAAGCAGTGTCCAGACATCTTCTGGCAGTCATCAGCCCACAGTTTGGGAGAAATCGTTTATAGAGAATTCATTGTGCAATGAGCAAACTTGAGGGCCTGAGCAGCCTACTGAATGACAAAGGTTGTCTTTTGACTGAGATTCCTACTAAATGGCAACAAAAGGTTCAGACCGATAGGAATGGAAATGATAGACTGCACAGATCTGTAAAACGGGAACGCACACAAAGCTCAGGTTTTGAAATAAAGTCAGACTCCAGAAGAACCAAGACTTTCCTCCAGAGTTTACAGCCGCTAAGTACAACAGACAAACAAACAACACTACTTTCCTATATCTAGATAATGATGATAATGTAAACAGAACTGTCATATTTTCATCAATTAGGGCTCTGTGTTCATTGAGAAAGAAGCTGAAGTGTCTGGGGATGATGTCTCTTCTGATGAACATGAAGACATTGATGACTTTTATGAGAGCAGCTTCATTGATAACAATACAACGATGACACAGACACAAAGCAAAGGTAAGTTTGATAATATCAGGACACATTTATTATCAATATTTATGCATTAAATTTAAAAAAGAAATAATTGTTTAAGGGTTTGTTTCTTATTCTTATTATTAATATTGTTGTATTTACTTTGTCCTCACTGTTGTTCTCAGTGTTGATATCTGTATCCTAAGACACACAGAAGAGGAAATATTGTAACTGTATTCATAAATAGATTATCCTTTTATTGTCAGACATGAGAGCTGTCTACCTGAAGTCCATAAAGAGCCCTGTGTTAGCCAAGCCTGCGAGTTATTGTCGGATGCTATATAATCCCAAGATAAATCAAGACAATATCTTTAGTCAAACCCTACCAGAGAATGAAGGGTTGTCAGAGTATGAAGAAGACAGCTTCTGTGTGGGCAGTGACGAGGAAGGTAAGTTACAAAAGTGTTGTCGCATGAATAGAGGAGTTGTAGAAACATAGAAGTAGAGAAGTTTTTTAAATACAGTCTTGTAAGTAGCAGTTGTATAAATGCAATCCCATCAGTAGAGAAGTGCTATAAGTACAGTTCCATAAATGCAGAGTTACCTTATGCTAAAAGACTAGGGAAAGATATAAAACTGAATGAAAAGTATATCAGCGAGCTTCACAATATAACAAACACAAACAAATTGTGAAGGTTGCGCTATGGAGCCTTCTTCAGCACATACATAGATTAGACAATACTACACAAATACACAATATCACTTATCTTCGTATCCTGCGGCAGCCAGGTCGATGTCAAGACAATAGTCTGGTGCGGCATGTGGGGCCAGGAAAATAAATATTCGTGGATATGCCAGGGGCTGTCAATCGATGATAAGATGAAACTGTGTTGGCAGTGGCTAAAAGACTAGGAATGACTGTCTGACCATGTGAATTACATGTAATTTCAGCAACACTCATCGTGTCTATATTTTTCATTATTCTTCACAGACGTCATTTACACAGAGGAGGAAAGTCGACTTCCAAAAGGTAGAAAAAGGTGTTCAAGAAAAACAAAGACAGGGCAATTGCAGAAAGGGAAAAAACGCATACAGAAGATATCAGATACCTCCAGTGATGAAGACAAGAGCAGCCATATTCAGATGACTCAAGAATTCAGTATTCATCCCTGTAAATTTGGAAGAAAAGTTTTACTGAGCAGTAGTGAGGATGAAGAGAGTAGGAGTAAGAAGACTAGTGCCACCTTGTATAACCTGGAGACAAGCACTAGTGATCAGGAAAAGTCTTGCACAGATTTTCCCAAAGTCAGGGGCAGTAGAGAAGCTGATATAGAAAAACAAAGTCTGGAAAAAAGGCCAGATAAATTGCTTAAGAAAAACATGGGATGTGGAAATTTGAATAGAAATAGACAGAAAGGGTCTTCCCAGCTTCCGGATACTTCTGATGAAGCAAACTTTGATTTGCTGGGAGAAGCAGATTGGTCTGATGGCTTTGATGATATGGAGTCAAACAGTGTGGACATAAGTGCTTCAGACAATGCTTTACAAAAAACTGAAACTACAAAATGTAACACTGAGAGAAAGTTTCTCAGTCTCAAAGATATTTCTAATGATGTGAGTAAAGTTGCTGAATCTGCGAGTTGCAGTGGCAGTAAGAATTACAATGATGTCAAAATGCAAGATGATTGCTCATTTAAGTGTTCTGCATCTTCTTCATTTACTAATGTTGCAAACAAGAAATTCTGCGATAAGATGAGTAACCCTTGTGAGGGAATTACAAATGTTGGTAACAAACAATCCTGTAGTAGAACTAGAGACTTTGCTTGTGAAAGTGATAATGGAATTAAGCAACAAACAGCACGGTCAACAAAAGTAGACACTCTTACATCACTATCATATTCTTCATCATCAAAAGCAACATCAAATGTGTTTAGTGACAGTAAAACAAGATCATTACCTGATGTAGGTATGTTGGATATCAGCCTGTCGAATTTAAATTCTATGAAGCCGCCTTCACTGTTGACCAGAGAAGAACGTCTTCGCAGGCAGAAAGAAAAGCAAGAGATGTACCGTAAGAAGTTGCAGCAAGTTCAACAGATAAACAACTCCCTGAAGACCTCAGTCAGTACACCAACAAGGTCTGAAGTGATTCCTGAAACCAACAATGTGAATGTTGACATTCCCTGTGGATCGCGGGATTCTACCTCTGATGGTGATTCAAGTTCACACGGCCAGATTTCACCAGTTTTCACAAAACTTGTAAGTTTTGTCTTCTTTTATGAAAACATTAAGAAAACTGAATATAATCTGAAGTTTTTTGCCTGTAGTATTGGGGATGTCTTCATATTTGGTTGATTTTTTTTTTTTTTTTTTTTTTTTTTGCAGTAGTATTTTATAGGATGAGGTGGCCAACCATAAGCCCAACCCTAACTCATACAACATGCCATGTAGGACACAGTGTTACTTGGACATGGGTTGAGCTGCCCGCAAAAGCAAAAAATAGGAAATATTATTATATGCATATGTATATACATCTACATAATATTAATATAAACAATGACATCACTGCACTCACATCCCCATAGATGCTCTCATTGTTTAATTAATTCATTCATTCTCTCATTTGTTCATTCAAACACAAGGGTAGCATCAAAAGGAAATATTATTGCATTTTTAAATACCATTATAACAGCATAAAATGAAACATTGTTGCCCTTTAAAAGTATAGTGTCTTTTGAACTTTCAAAGAATAAAGCAATGTGTACTCTATATTACAAATATGTCATATAGCCTCTTATAAACTTTCAGTAAATGAAAAAGTAAATAAAGAAGTATACATATTATAGCATTAAATTGAAATATTTTTATTCCTAAATGCTATGGTTTCTAGGGAACTTTCAGTTTACAACACATTGTATATTCAGAGTTACAGTTGTTGACACTTTTATTACATAATTTATTACATAATACAATGTATATTTCAGTGTTACAGTTGTTGATACAGTTATAGCACCAGCATGAAATATTGTTACACTTAAACAGTATAAATTTTAGGGAACAACTCACAAACTCGGGCCCAGACTCTGCCAACTTTCACACTAAGTCACTTTTGATCAGCCTCGTAAACATTGCTAAGGGTCACGGTGGTGCCCCAGTTTACTATTTGTTCAAATAGATTTCTGCATTATCTTTTTTTTTATGTTTTAATTCTGAGAAAGAGAATGTGTGAGAGGTAAGCTGCAGAACTGTCATAGGGAGATTTGTCTTAGGGCCAGTTTTGCATATTTTGGGAAAGTTAAAAGCGCTGAAATCCTGGAATATACAACATGTGATATCACTGACCCGTGAAGAAAACGAAGAAAGTATTTTGAACAAAACAGTACACTGGGACACTCTTGTAATTTTTAGGAAAGTTGACGAAAGTATGAATGAAAAGTGACCTAGTGTGAAAGTGGGCGGAGCTTGGACCTGGAAACGTGAGTGGTGCCAATTCTAGTGAACTTTCTTTCAGTAAAAGCTCATTGCCTATATGTATTACAGTTGAATACAAAGCGGAGTGAACACCAGCTGCAAATTCTAGTGGACTCAAGAGAAATAAGTGCTGCCCAGGTAAGCTTTAGTGTCATTTAGCTATAAGGGTTTTCTTTCTGGTCAGGATTTTGCTTCATGTGTGTCTAATGTTATGTTGTAAATTACATTCATGAAATTAATATTAAATGACAAAGAAGTGAGGAAAAGGCGCTGGCATTGGATAGGTCACACATTGAGAAAATCTAATGACAGTATAGCTAGAATAACCTTGCAGTGGAACCCAGTGGGTTAGAGAAGTAAACACTAAAAAAAATAGAGAAGGGAATTAGAGAGTGAAATTAAAAATATTGGAAGAACATGAGGTGAACTTCATGAAATAGCAAAGAATATGAGTCTGATATGAGCTAGTTGTGGGCTTATGCTCCACTGGAGGGGGGGGGGGGGGGGGTGGGGGGGGGGGGGGGGGGGGGGGGGGGGAGACATAGAAGACATGTGATTTTCCTTGTTAACTCTTCCTGTGTAGTTGAAAAAAATCAGTGCTCAATCATATTAACTGATACCTTGTTTAACTCGTTCTGGTCTCTAACAAAGTACACAGTTGGATAAGTCATTATCTCTATGCATCAAGAATTACATTATATTATCACATTTGCTTTTAACATGTTTAAGAAATCCAGGACATTCAGCACTGTGCATGCCAGTTTGAAATTTCTTAATTGTCATTAATATCCCTCTTAGAGAACTTTCTGGAACTGATAAAATCAGACACTGTATTGATCATCATCATCATTATGTTGTGCTCTTATACATCACATAGGGCTCACAGTGTTTTCTTCAGTTTCATTCTACCCCGTGGAGATGTTTCAATATGATGAATAAAATCTCATCCTGCACCTTTGGACTCGCTCATCAATGTTACTCTTAGCATTTCACTGGTTTTTTCAAGTCCCCGTTTGGTAATTCTTATTAGGAGATGCCCAGTATGTCACTCCCCTCTTTGTCTTCTGTTGTTACCAGCAGTCGTCCAGACATTTCTCGTATTATGTCTTCTTGAATTCATCCCAGCAATTACTGTCTCCTAACTTTGTCGTTTATTTGACTTTTAAATCAGATTTAAATTCACTATCATATATTACTGTACTATTAAGCTGTTGACTTTACCAGGACTGTAATCCATTAAACTATTCACATGGAATAGTTATAGGCATTTTGGTATGGCTTTTACTGGCACAGAAGGGAGACAGTTTTGGGGTGACCCATTTTCTGTGAAACTGGAACTGCAACTAAAGACTATACTGTAATATCCTCTGCTGTACTACATCATACTTTTTATACTGTTACATACTTATTTTTATCTTTATTCACCCTTAAAATAGGGCTCTGGAACCCACACAGGGTTACAGTAAATACAATCTATACTGTACTACAGAATTGTATTGTATTTTACTGTACTTTTTAAAGGCGACTCCACTGTACTATAGTATACTGTTCTATGCTATACTGTAGTGTACTGTGCTGTACTGTTCTTTTCTATTTTATACAACCATAGTAGCATATGATTGAATATCATAACCAGTTATTATAGGTAATGATAATACTGCAAATTGATACATGTCTTTCAGGAGATCATATCTGCACTGCGACTGAAGCATGGGATCACAGTGACAGCAAGGCAGCTCTCCAGCTGCGACTACATCCTCAGCAACCATCTTGCTGCTGACAGGGTCCAGTGGTCAAGTAGGTCCTATACATAAAGCAGCGGGCAAAGGTTTAAAACCACCTTCTAAATTATTGACTTGTCCTTAATGTTACTAACGCCCTGAGAAGCCAAAAAACCGGCACTTCTAGGCGAGGTCAGTTCCCCATAAATGTCACCTTTCTGATGTATCTATAGGACTTTTTTACGAGTTGGATAGTTAATGCTATTGGCTGTGTTCATGCCTGCACAAATGTTAGCACTGGGGACATTACCATACACATCCTATCCTCCTCTTCAGCAGACAACAAAGAGTTCCAGAATTCTGATGGTGCCAAGAGCATTTGATTATATGTCCGTCTTGCCATTCCTCTGAGAGTAGAGTGTTGACCAATTCCCCTGGTCACTCCCAGTGGTACCATTCTTTCCGGTCATAACGATCGATTTGTGCTTCTGCTTTGTTCACTTGCTCCCAAAGGGCCTTGACCACATCTAGCTTGTCATGCACAGTCTATTGGTGCAGAGCCAGCCAGTCTGTCACCTCTTCATTTCCTAACACTCCTTCATATCCTGGAGAAAATGTCCAAAGAATGCTGCCTACACGTGACCTTTGAAGTGGTGCTTGCCACTCTGCATAGAGCATGCCTGTCTCCACCTCTCTTAACATGGATGTTAATATGTTAACTAAAAATAACATTTAAGAGGTTTCCTTCAAACTAAATTGTTTTCTAAAGCCAAGTTGGGGTCGGATTTTTCTATAATTGATAGGGGTCACAGTAGGAGTCACCCGATACATATCTTTTTAGGCCCCAGAGAGTGTATTCCATTCAATGCTTTACTCCGTTCCTGTTTTTTGATTACACCTTTTATCTATATTTTTATGTATTTATAATAAAAATGTCCATAAATAATTCCTTTTCAAAATTTATTGGTGACTTGTGTAAAATTGTTTTGTTTTCTCTGGAAATCTGGGGGTCCTATTGTGCCGAGGGAAAAAAAAATAATAGACCTATTTCCACCCTAAGATGTATGTTATAAAAGTAGGCTAATTAGGGGTGCTTCCTTCAAAGTCAGGGTATATCTGTCTGAGAGGCAAGGAACCAACAGTGCACACACAACTCAGGTTCTGCAACCTGACTAAAGTCCAGAAATGGGTGAAAAACTGGAGTTTACAGCTGGTGAGTGCGAAGATGAAGAAGAAGAAAGATAATGAAATTCAGATATTGGCTGTGGGTTTTTTTAATGCTGAATTTTTATTACAGTAATCCAAATAATGTATCCTTATTTAATTCTCTGGAGTGAACAGTTAGTCTTTCTAGTGTAACATTGTAAAAAATTGTCGTGATAAATTCAGTCAATTGATATTTTAACATAAAATGATAGTAAAAACATTATTTAAAGTTCACCTACAATGTCTTAACTCCCCATGTGGCTTCTGGGGCCCCATTATGGTGGAAAACAAGAATAGACCCACTGCCTCCTCAACAAACATGTCAAAGGAGTCAACTAATTGGGAGCTTCCTTCCAAGTTGGAGTGCATCTGCCTTAACAGCAAGGAACGACCAACTGTACACAAATAAGCCAGTAACACAGATGTACACTCAAAACTCAGGCCCTGGCACAAAACCAGAGTCAAAATGAATGAACAGCCAGGACTTTCCGCTGGAGTTTTCCACTGGAGCTTACCGCTGATGAACAAAGAAGAAGATGAAGAAATCTTAACAAGGCACATTTTAACCCATTCCAACATTATTCAGTAGCTGTTTGAGCATTGTATGCTTGCTTCTTACAACTGTGTCTACAAGGAAACATGTTGAATAAATATGCTGCTGACAGCAG